TAAAATGTGGACGCTTCCAGAATTTCACAAAAATAAATGGGTTAGAAAAAGGCTTCTCAGGCTGTGTAAACACAATACAGTTAAAAGTGCACCCCCCCCCAAAAAAAGAATCCTGGTAACTTTTTTTAAGGGTGCTGGGAATTATAGCTATGTGAACAATAAACTACAGTTCCCAGGATTCTTAGGAAGGGGGGGATATGTACTTTAGGACTGAACATGCAGTCAATTCATTAATTTGTATCTGCTTTAAGCAGCTTCATGTGAGTGGTTTTTGAACTAAGTTGTACCTGCACTGAAACTTGGGTTTGGTAACTCTGAGGAAATAATGGAACACAACTGGTGTGTGTGCTGAGTTGCATACTCCAAACCAGAATATGAGTTGATGCCAGAAATGGGATATTCTCACACAATGACTGCTTTGACTGATGCCCAGCAAACTTTTATCTAAACCACCACAAGACTTTGTCTGTGTGGTTGTTGTGGGCCTGCTTTTACATAAGGAAGACCCAGTGTTTTTTTCTGGGATGACGCAGGGGTATGCATACCCCTAAACATTTTATGAATCTAAGTTTGGCCTCATTGAGGGACAGTATTTCTTTATGAGTAGGAAAATGAGAGTACCGCTAAGCCTTTTTTTTTTTTTTTTTAAGAAAACAAAGCACCAGGAAGACCTTATACTCTGAAAATGCCCCACCTTCCCTAAGTACATACAACATCCTGAGCCCAGATCTGCCCGGCTAAGCAGATTAACATGGAGCAGCACTCTGGCTCAGCCTCAGTCTCCATCCCTGGCTCAAGCAAATGTTGCACCCACTTAAATCCCTTATCATCTGCCAGATGATCTGAACCCAAAAGATCTTCCTGTGCTTAGGAATGCCCAGTTAGAATATTTTAATTAGACAATTTTTTGCTTTTAAGCATGTTGCAGTTTTGCTACACTTACCACCAGGAATCAGACTCTAAAATAACAATGAGGAATTGGCTTAGCCAGAGAGTAGCATTGGCTCAACTCACACTTCAGCTTCTTCTGAGCTGGACCATTTCAGATGCCTGGTATATACAAAATATATCTGTATATACCAATAACAAAACAAAAACAAAAAGCCAGCATGTCTTAGAAGGCCTTGCACACAGACGCCAGCACACATGTGCACACATATTGAGTTTGGTTGTATTTTAAGTATGTTTTATATCTCTGCACTGGCAGATGAAGGGTAGGTTATGAATGCTACAGATAAATTGTTGTATATTGAAGCAAGCAGTCACCCCAAATGTAATGTAAAATGGCCCTACTCAGCAAACATTTTTCCATGCGATTGTTCCCATTGTGTGTTCTTCGTATCTTTCTCTGCTCATTCAATTTCATTTCCTGTCATTTGGAAGTCCTGAATTACTGGATATTACTCCTTTCAACAGGAGGTAGTCAAGATCTGATCTGATAGAACAGGGTGGCTCTGGAGATTCCTTTAAAACAGAAGGGTGTCGTCTTTTTGCATGCACCTTTATAGGAAATGTTACCATTTTCCAAAGTTGAATGTAGGACCTATGCAAACAAATGTTTTATTTTATGTGAAAAATGTGACTTTATACACATACTTTACCCCCTGCCCCACAGCACGTAATCGATAGTATAGAAAACAATTATTACTACATACTAAAACAGATTTCAACAGTCTTTTAATTAAGCACAATATATATACACATATAATATATATATCTGTATATACTGTTTATAGATTTGTTCCATAATACTAAGAGGATTGATCAAACACTCAGCTTAACTGCCTAACACTCTGGTAGCTGACTAACAATTGTGACTCCAGTGACATTTTTTTTCTCAAATCTGACAAAAGCTGAAGCAAAATTATGTCTGTAACTTCCTATTAAATATAAGCAAAGTAGGAAAACATCTCTCTCTCTCTCTCTCTCTGCCCCCAGAGGTAAAGCTTTTATTGCGTAAAACACTGGTTAAAACTATACCATTTCAAAGACATTTTTATTCTAACAGCAGAAAGAAAAAACAGTCATTTGCTGGGGGGGAAACAACTTTTAATACTTCTATACCAGAATAAAGTTCTGTCAACTGATGTATTATAATAATAAATAATGACCAAGAATAAACTTTAAATACAAAGGTTTTTTTTTCCTAATTGTTACAAGCATAGCAACAAAATCCTCTACTCTATTGATCTCAGATTTTCTCCAAGACAGATATTTTTTTTCTTCCTTTGCGTAGGAATGTAGACAGTATTTTGACCAATATCACAGACTACAGAAGTTACAGAGAAAAAACTTGACATGTTTAGATATGAGAAGCATGATGATATTCAGAAACTGACAATGTTTCACTGCTCCTGTCACTTGTTTGTATTCCAAGTTACAAATGTTCTGGAAAAAAATGGGGGGGGGGGGAGGCTGATGTCAGAGGCAAAAGATAGGGACAGTAGCACCAGACCAAATGGATTCAACACACACATCACAAAGAACAGGAGAGGAATTTCCAGTGTCACAAACGGAATTATTGCCTGTCGTATCTGAAAATGCTCAGAAGACACAAAAAGAATACTGAAAAGAGCTCCAAAAAAGTGCAAGAAAATGGAATGTGGAATCTTTTTTTTTTTCCTCTTTTTTTCTCTCGCTAAGATACGGAAGGCGGCGCAAACACACAAAAGCAAGCGACCGAAACACAGTCACCAAACACGGTAGTGCAGTTAAAATCCTAAAGCTTACTACAGTCAGAAAGTCTTCAATTACATTTCAATCCTTTACCTAGGATCATGAGAAACAGTTGCATTAAGTTTATCAACTTGATTTAAGTAAGGCAGTGAGAACTATACTAGGAAAAAAAAATATCTCCCCAAAAATGAGAAAAGCAGCTTGCCCTCTGCCAGACGGGGGTCTAAGTTACACAGCGACCTCAGTTTAACTGAAACTTCACTTGGATGGTATCGTTTTTAATTTTTTTCCTGACAGCGTATGCAAACTGTATTTCTTATTAGCCTGAGAATCTCTTTCCTTTCTTCCAGTCTCAGGGTAGCGCTACGAATTTTATTTACATTGATTGCAGTTTAGTGTTTTTTGTAAACTGCTGTAGGCAGAGCTGAAGTTTTTAAGGCCCTGGGGTTTTTTACTCTGTGCTCCCAGCCTGCAAGGATATATATTGACTTTTTCTTTCTTACTTACATTTTTTTTTTTAAGTCTGAATGATTTTGTTTTTAGAAGAAGTTAATACTTCTCTATCATCTTAAACAGCACCAATTTTGCTTCTCTCAAAGGAAGTACATGAAAAGGCTAAAATCTTTTGCCACTCAAGTGGGTGTAAGGAGAAGCCATTAACTGGCTTTCTTACATTTATCTTTTTCTTTTCCTCAGTCATGTTTTTCATTATAATCTCTCCAAAGCTTCCTAGGTGGGAAACGACAGGATTAAATTTGGAAGGGGCCAATTAGTAGAAAAGCTAAAATCTGCAAAAATATAGAACACGCTTTTTTTTCCTTACAAAAAAACAAAGAAATATTAGCTAACACATTTTTCGTCCTTCATCTTTTTTTCCCTTTCACTAGAGACAAGGGGCAGGATGTCTGGATTCATATTTTAGGTCAAATTGCTTGAAAAGAGATTTCTCCAGTAAAAAATAAAATGCACTGTCCTGCACAATGTCTGCAACACTTTTTTTTAAAAAAAGAATAATAACAGCACCCTAATAAATGAAAACTAATCTTGCCTGGGGAATCTTTCATTCAAGTCTTTCCCCCCCTTTCTTAAAAAAAAAACAGAAAAGAAAAGAAACCAACTTTCTATTGAATAAGAATTATTTCTCCTTTTTTTTGCACTGGTATCTTCTCTAGACAAGGCTAACTAGTTTCTCTATCCAGCACGCTCCTTCAGTATTGTATTTCTAAATCTCTCTATAGCAACCTACTTCATTAAAAAGGAACAAAATAGGAAGGGGGGAAAAACAACATTTCTCTCAATACTGCAAGTCCATCTAAAAAAAAGAGAAAAATACAGTCCCCCCAAAAAACCACATTGTACAATTAACTGCAGTGTTTTGCTGGCCTGCAGATCCCCCCTTACTGCTCTAATCATTGACTCATTTGGCCGTCTCTCTCTCTGTGTGTGTGTGTGTGTGTGTGTGTGTGTGTGTGTCTTTCGCTATATATAATATGTATATCTATATATATATATATTTCAGAAATTAAAATGTTAACAGCACAATCCTTTTCAATACAGGTCAGCACTGACTGTAGCTTACGGGTCGTCTAAAATTTCTCTGAGAGTGCAGAGTTGGAGCACCACTTGGATTGATTTTCTCAGCAGGGACAGCTCCAGTCAGCCTGGCACCACCTCACTCCACCAACACGTCTCATTACGACGCTAGGCAAATGGCAGCGGTCGGTGTCATATTAAAAAGGTGTTTTCAACAATGAAAACACAGGAACACCCCCCCACACACACACTTCCCCACTCCCACAATCTTCAAGGCAACATTAAATCAGGAAGATGGTATCACAGATATAGATATATAGATAGATATTCTGGTAAGAGCATTCTTTCTGGATAAAGACCACTTTAGTGTTAGAAATGCGCCCTTTATTTCAGTATTTTTCACACACACACACACACACACACACACACACACACACACAAACACAGATATCTTGCAACCTGCACACATTTGGGGGAAGAAGAAGAAAAAACAACACCCACTTGATTTATCTCCACCTACATTGTTTGGAAGTACTTGTTGCCAGGTAACAGTATAACAGCCATTTTCAAGGGCTGGTTGTTGTTGTTTTTTCCCTCTTTCTCTTTTTAATGTGTGTGTGTGTGTGTGTGTGTCTTTAATGTCTTAAACATCCTGCACGCTTCTGGGAATTTGCACACAATCTGTTTTCCTCAGAAGGCAGTTAAGCAAACTCTCTGTGTTACCCAAAATGCATATCTAAAAAACTGTGTAAAATAATATTGCAATATACAGATTGATTTGTTCTGCGGCATTACTCCTGGGCCTGGCTGCCCTCCTCCGTTAACTCTGTCGAGCTCCCAGGTTTGACAGCTCCAGGTTCCTCGGAATTCCCAGAAGCTTCGGCGTCAACTCTGGAGCGCTTGAACCTGCGGTCTGGATACTGGCTGTTGTCAAAAGGCATGCGATGGACACAAAGGACGTGGGTCTTCAGATTTCCCTTCTGAGAGGCACTGTAGGGGCAGTATCTGCACTGGAAAGGCCGGTGACCTGTGCAACAGACAAACATTGGGTTAGCATTTCCTCAGGCCTGCAGGGGTTCCCCACCACCCAGCCTCTGTAGTGCAGTTCACAGAATGGAATAATGTAAAAACACAAGTCTCCCCTTCTCTTATATGTGGACTGAATCATACAGCCCCTTTCTGCTTACACCCTATACATTTAAAGCTCTGCCCGACCCCCAGTTTTTTGAGGGTGCCTGGAACTGTACGGTAGTACCTCAGGTTAAGTACTTAATTCGTTCCGAAGCTCCGTAGTTAACCTGAAACTGTTCTTAACCTGAAGCACCACTTTAGCTAATGGGGCCTCCTGCTGCTGCCGCGCCACCACCGCACGATTTCTGTTCTCATCCTGAAGCAAAGTTCTTAACCTGACGCACTATTTCTGGGTTAGCGGAGTCTGAAGCATGTGTAACCTGAAGCGTATGTAATCCGAGGTACCACTGTAGTTCTGTGAGGGGTACCCAAGATTCTTGGTTGAGGGAGTGTTTCAAATGTATGGTGCGTACACAAGCCCACAGTCTTCACACAGGTACTGCCGTGCCTCAGTTTCCCAGGACGTGAAATTTACAGGACTTAATTGGCCAGACACAGGGCCTCTCTGTCTCTGCTATTTTCAAAACAGACTGGGCAAATTTCACACTAATTGTGCCCCCCTCCCCCACTTCTTGAGATTCAGGATACACAGCGTTCCCTGCCATGACTTTAGCACCTTGGAAAGTCACCTGTGGATCAGTGCTGGGATATAGGGGTCGAAAATATATTCTGTCAGTGGCATGCAGTGAATTTTTTTGTAGTGGAACAGTTAGGGGCAGAGGTGCTACCTTGTGAGGGGCATGAGGGGGTCGATATTTTATGCGTGTGGTGTTGTGACATCATGACGTCTTGCATGTGAGCATTGCGCCTCCCTCCCTAAGCTGGGTAGAAACTTCCTGTGCTTTGCGAAAGAGGTGGCAGGGGAACATTTAGGGGATTAGCTGAGTCCCCTCAGTCCAATGTCCGCATGCCACTGCATGCTATTGGATTTTTTAAAATATTAAAAAAAGCAACAGCCAATCCCCAGTATCTTGTAAATATGTACGGTAACTTTGTAAATAATACTGAAACGACATGTACAATTGAATGTCATTTTGCAGCCTATTTCAATAAACTAGTTTTATGGAATTTTAATGCCATGGCACACATTTAATTTGAATTCGATTTTCTTTTTTCTTCAAGTGGAAAAGGGACACTAAGGCGCTCAATTGTTAGAGAAGAACGGAAACAAGAAGGGATGTTACAGAGTTTAGGTGAAAGGCAAGTAAGATGTGACATGATAGATGTTTGATGCATAGCACAGAAAGAGTGGATGGAGAAAAGTTCTTCTCCCTCTCTTCTAACACTAGAACTTTGTGGACACCCATTGAAGCTGAATGTTGGAAGGCTTAAGAAGGAAGTCCTTGGGTCAAGTGTGGAATTTGTTCCTACTGTAGGCTGCTCAGGACAGGTAAAATATAGTACTTCTTCACATAGTGCATAGTTAAACTACATAATTCCCTCTCACAAGAGGCAGTGATGGCCACCAAGCTTGATGGCTTTAAAAGAGCATTGGACGAATTCATGGAGAAGAGGGCTATCAATGGCTACTAGCCCCAATGGCTATGTTCTATTTCCACAGTTGGAGGCAGCAATGCTTCTGAATGCCAATTGCTTGAAACCGCAGGAGGGGAGAAGGCTCCTGTGTGTTTGGGTCCTACTTGAGGGCCTCCCATTGCAGTATCTGATTGGCCGCTGTAAGAACAAAAGTCTGGAATAGATGGGCTATTGACCTGGTCCAGCAGGCTCTCCTTCCATTTTCGTGTTCTGTTCTGTTCTCACAAGGTTCTGTGCAGCTAAAGGAAGCAAGTGGTGGCTCACCCTTCTCACGCTGCGTTTGTGGCCCGCCTTGCAGACACCAAATTGTTCCAGATTATTCTGAGCCAGCCTGAGACTTCATGCTGCATCTGGCTTGGAAGGTTATGTTGCCGCAATCACATTTCAACCTATGCTGGGAAGTTGTTGATGTGTCTTACTGGAACTTTATGAGCTTTGTCTCTCAAATTAACTTAGACCAGGGCCATCTGAGGTCAAATGCACTTAGCTTACTTTAATTTGCTGAAATAAATGAATAAATAAATGTGCCTGACCATCTGCATAAAAAGCTAAGGCTATTGGAAGACATGACCTAATAATCACATATGAAGAACAATGTTAGCCCCCTCCTTTTCCCCCCCGTCTGATTTTTTCCCCCTTTCTGTTTACACACATGCACAGAGGATGCAGACATGTTGCAGAGGCAGAACTGACCAAATGATTCGGACTTTATGCATTCATTAGACATGATCCAGATGGGCACATATGGAACTTCTTCAATGCCATCCATCAAATAATGCATTCTGCTTAATTCCATTTAAATCTATAGGTTTAAGTGCCATTGGTGGATTGTATTCAAGTCAAACTCCTGGCTGCTAAAAGGTAAACGTAAAGGGACCCCTGAAGTTAAGTCCAGTCACGGACAACTCTGGGGTTGCAGTGCTCATCTCGCTTTACTGGCCGAGGGAGCTGGCGTTTGTCCGCAGACAGCTTCCGGGTCATGTGGCCAGCATGACTAAGCCACTTCTGGTGAACCAGAGCAGTGCACAGAAACGCTGTTTACCTTCCCACTGGAGATGTACCTATTTATCTACTTGCACTTTGACATGCTTTCAAACTGCTAGGTTGGCAGGAGCTGGGACTGAACAACAGGAGCTCACCCCGTCACGGGGATTCGAACCACTGACCTTCTGATCGGCAAGCCCTAGGCTCTGTGGTTTACAGCACAGCACCACCTGCACCCCTCTTCTAAAAGGTACATGCCAATAAATCATTATTGACCCCCTTTCCAAGTGAAAACCTGTCTGTTTTTCCATCTAGTGCTACTGAAAAGTTATGATGATGAAGGAAGAAGAAGGAAAGTTTACTCTAACTGTGCAGTGTCAGTTTACACACCCAAAGGAAAAGTACTAGGAAAAGCAGAGACCAAAATTATAAACAGGAGGTAGGTACAGCTCTGGAATTTTCAGCAGAAGGGTTTTAAAAAGCCATTAATGGAGAAACTGCACTTTAGAGTCTAAGGCTTAATCTGTTTATTACCTCACAGACCCATATAATCTATGTTGTAATGTGCTAAGGGATTATATCGCGGTAACAATGAAACTTCTGGCACCCATTGGCTGAGCTGAAGTGATGCCATGGGATGTCCACGAACATCCTATTTGCTGAGGGAAGTTGTCAGCAGTAGAAGGCTCAGTGGGCTGAAAAGAAAGATAAGTTTGCTGAGGAAAACCCTCGCTGTCAGATTCCAGGGCAAGTGGAAGTATATGGAGCCAGGTGGCAAATGTGAAACCTCAAAGCTTAGTAGAATGAGATACTAGGAGCATGGAGATAAAGGCCCCAGTGAGCTGAACCAGGGGACAAAGCAGGGAGCAGATGGAAAAACAAGAACTAAAAGAAAGGGCAAGTAGGGCAGACAGAGAGTGAAGGAAAAATAAGTCAAGGGACCATATTCTGGTTGTTCGTCACTCATAACTTCTACATTGGGCACCCTTTAAGGGCTAAGTTAAGTATTTCCATGTTCGAAAATATGAAAACAATACTGATGCACAGTTGCCTGTCATCTGCAGATTGGAGCCTTTGGCAGATCTGTTGATTTCAAAGTCCCCATTTATAATTGTTTCCAATCTTCAATTGTGTTTGCCGTATTTTTCAAATAATTTGCATTTTTTTAACAAAAAAAGAGTCTTCAATATATACAGATTTCTGCATGCAATTTCCCCTAATATAATGCATCCTGGTATGCTGTTTTCCCTAACTTTAGCATTTCATACACACTTTCCTCAAATGGAAGCACGCCTATCATAAATATGTCAGCCCATAATTAAGCAGATCAGCTACACCTATTACTGAAACTGAACTTAAGAGATGGAATACAACAAGTAGTTTCTATATTTTGAGTGTATAAATAGGTTCAAAATTTGTTGAAGTAACATACTATTGGGAATTAGTCTCATCAGATTTCTTAATGAGGCATCACAGTCAGAGGGTCCCATAGAAACTGCCTCTCCACATACAGAGACTAGGAATCTTAAATAAGAACCACTACATTACTGAACATTGAACCCAATGGTTTCCTCAAAGCTCCTTCACACCTGTAATACTCCCAGTCTTTGGCCCCACTCTGGGCTTGTCTTATCAGCACAATGGGTGCTGTTTGGATGCTGTAGTCCACATGACTCAAAAGAGACGTCGCCTTCATAAACCCCCATGCTAATCCTAAATGCTCATCCCGAGACAGAGTTTTTCATGGTGTAATCTAACAGGTTCTTTTCTTCTGGAGTTCTGACCATTTACCTAGCCACCCCTTCCTCAGCCAAGGAACTTGGGCAGCTCCAGTCCATCCCCCCCCCTTGATCTCCAAAACAGTTGTGTCTCCAGTTTGTGAGCTCCCTTTGACCTGCAACACAGCATTGGTTGCTTCTACCAGCTTCTTCCTGCTAAATCTGAGGCCCATCTGTGCTATATATTTAAAGCAGTATTATACCACATTAAGCAGCCATAGTTTCCTCCAAAGAATCTTCAGAATGGTCATTTGTTAAGGGTGCTGAGAGTTGCTAGGAGACCCCTCTTCCCCTCACAGAGCTACAATTCCTAGCGTTCCCTAGGAAGAGGGATTGATAGTTTAAACCATTCAAGGAACTGTGGCTCCTTCAGAGGAATGGGGGGGCAGTCCTTCCAACAACTCTCAGCACCCTTAACAAACTACAGTTCCCACAATTCACTATGGCTGCATAGCTTATTTGCATCTTACAGCTCTAGAACTCTACAACATTTTTGGTTATTTTTTAAACCGCAATCATGCAGTCACTTTCCCGGCAGTCACATCCCATTGAACTTAATGGGACTTACTCCTGAGGAGACCTTGCATTGTATCATTAAAGGTAAAGGTAAAGGGACCCCTGACCATTAGGTCCAGTCGTGACCGACTCTGGGGTTGTGGCGCTCATCTTGCTTTATTGGCTGAGGGAGCCGGCATACAGCTTCCAGGTCATGTGGCCAGCATGACTAAGCCACTTCTGGTGAACCAGAGCAGTGCACGGAAACACCTTTTACCTTCCCGCCAGAGCGGTACCTATTTCTCTACTTGCACTTTGACGTGCTTTCAAACTGCTAGGTTGGCAGGACCAGGGACCGAGCAACGAGAGCTTACCCCGTTGCGGGGATTTAAACCGCCGACCTTCTGATCAGCAAGCCCTAGGCTCTGTGGTTTAACCCACAGTGCCACCCGTGTCCTAAATTTAGCATGGCTAAATTGCCCTTAGTCTTTTAACCCACAGCACCACCCGCGTCCCTTATTGTATCATTAAGGATGTGCAATTAAAGACTTGAAGTTTAGCTTTACCTATGCAATGCCAGTGACACCTGCCATGCAGATTCGCTTATTCATTAAAGTGTTAACACTAATTCAAAACAATTTTTTAAAAGAAGGATCCAATAAGTGTAAATTAAGTAGCACTTAATTATGCCCCAAAATGCTTTCACTATTTGGTATCATTATCCCAGCAAAAGGGTTTGAATGTTCACATCCCTGCAAAACATATCACAGTTTGGGCTTATTAATTCAGCTGCGTTTAACAAGCAAGGAAAGCATTAATGGCACCCGAAAGTGGTTTCAACCCACCACTGCCTTGTTTTTCCATCACTAACTTTTGGGGGCCATCAAAATTTCACATCACTGTCATGTGAAAAGTTAAGTACACAATAAGTTAATTTGTATTGTCACTGTGCAGTACAACAGCAGTAAAGAGCACATCAATTTTTAATCCGGTATGAATAATATATAAATATGTATACACAGTGCGGGTCAAAAAGTGTAAGAGCAAAAGAAGTGGTATGTTGTTTACAGCAGCAGTCATACAAAAAAAAAACAAAAAAACACACCATTCTGGAGATCAGTCTTACAAAAGATAACAACATCTGCAATTTGCTTGTAACTAGGGGGCAAAGCAGAATGCCCATTTCTCTTGGGTAACATCGTCCATTAATTACTGCTCAAAACTGGTTGTGGGCAGCAAGATCTTAAAATAACCAGGCCTAGATAAGCAGGCAAGTAATTTATACCATTTTTATCAGATGGTAGTTGGGGAGGATTTGGGGGCTGCGGGCTCCTTCTTTTCTAGTCATAGATCACATATATACTAGCTGGGGTGTATATTTCAACATATAATCATTTGAAAGTCGCTTTAAGAGAATGGCTTCTCATAGTTCAGAAGACAAATATTCTGCTGCAGTTCTAGAAAGTAAGATTACCTGTGGCTCAGTCCATGCAACTAAGACTGCTTCAGAATAGCCAGGTGGAAACAAGAGAGGTGGACACTATGGTCAAATGTTCTGGGACCTTTGAAAGATGTACAACTCAGATGTACCACTGTGTATTTTGGCAGTACAAAGTGTTTTGTTTTGCTTTTTTAAAAAATGGCTTGCCTATGTACATTTTCTAAACTTTGTTTCTCCTGGGAACCTTGCTCTTCTCCGTTTATCTCATACCTGTTTCAGAAGTGACCCCCTTTTGATGTGCCTACTTGTAGCAAACTTTAAGGATGAATCTACCAAGGTGATCTATCACTTTTTGGACTTTCTGAAAATGCCTCATTCACTCAATCATTTCAGTGGCTCTTGTAAGCACTGGCTAGGGAGTGCAGTTATACTTCACAGAGAGTACTTTCCATCCTGTTTCTGCATTGATCCATGATTATTCAATCCACATGACATTTTAAGGTGCTGTTTCTCTCAAAATACAGATTTTAAATGTATCTGCATTTTTTTTCTGAAATGGAAATAGCCTTGAAACATTTTGAAAGTGCAAAAATGCATGCATAACTATGCTCCAATCTACATATTAATCCAGGATGTGTGGGTCAGTCAGTTTGTATTAAATTTTGCAAAGATCCAATTCCTCAAGCAGAGTTAAATTTGCTTAATGGCCAGTTCCTAGTGAACCCTGGGAACTGTGAGAAGGACTACCATTCTCTAATAGGCAATTCTCCATTCTCTCACTGCATTACAACTTCCAGGATTGTTTGGGGAAAATCCGTAACATTTAACTAGTATGAAATCCGTGTTATTTTGTATTACTAGTATACTACTTTCTTTTCTACTGCATCTGCATGGAGCATCAGCCTGGAATTACCTTTCTGCTTAATATTCATTTGCAACTTTTCATCTTAGGTTGATCTGAGTCTTGTTTACCTGGGTTAGCCAAAATGTTTTGTTTGATAAAGGCAAGAACTTGCAAGACTAAGAACTGGGTTAACTCCAGCTACTGCCGTGTGCCTTATTGCAGCAGCGGACTTATGTTGGCAACAGGTTTCTAGGAATGTCCCTTGGGAAATGGAAGAGCAAAAAGCAAGTATTTCAATCTTTTATATACCCATACCTTCTTTCCTCCCTTTAAAAAATGTTACTATGTTAATTTAGCCTTTGAGGGAAGGAGAAAAAGCTTTGTTTTGTTTTCCTTCAAATCCGCGTTCTGATATGTTGCTTTGCGACAACATGGTGTCAGCCTGCATCAGTCACATCACATCACATTAAGTTTCATGAGATGGTGTGCTTGAACACAGAGTCCAAGAAAATGCATATCAAAGTGAAAAGGTTCTGAAATTCTGAAGGGTTTTTGTTGTTGCTGCTAACAGATCTCCAAATGACCATTATCAAGTTGGCACACCTCAGAGAGATTTTCTTTTTTAAATTGTATTCGCGAGTTGGTTTCTATGGACTGAAACCTTTTTCAACTAATTTTTGCAGCGCCATACTTTTAGAACACAAAATTGCACCTAACAAACCTTAATAGGAATAATCGAGAATGAGCTACATTGCTTCTTTTCCATGCATGAATTTTGTACTTTTATGATGCTATCTTATTTTAATAAGGTTTTTTTTTTTTTAAAAGAAACAACATCATCTGTTTTATAGCTTTAAATTGTTTTTAGGATTGTTTACACCAGGGGTTGTCAATGCGGTTGCCTCCAAATGTTGTTGGACTACAATTCCCATCAACCTCAGATGCATGGCCAGTGGGCAGGGGTGATAGAAGTTGGAGTCCAAAAGAACAGCTGGAGAGAAACTCATTGACTACCCCCAATTTACACTGTATTGGTTTGGCTATGCTGGGAGTCATTTTGAGGAGGCTTTTACCCGGGAAGCTGGAATATAATAAATACCTCAATCAATAGATTCTGTTCTACTTTTGCAGAAACGCTCAAATTAGGACATATAACAATATTCTTCTTGTAGAAGGAAATGAAGTCCCAGCACACCAGAGCTCTGAATCATAGCCAATACTTGTACAAGTCAAAAAGTGACCTCTTTAATAGTTGCTAATTTACTGGCAACAAGAAGCATCCATTATTCTAAGAAGACTACAGGGCAATGCACACTAATAAGATAAGGTAAAGACAATCAACATTAAAAATGTTTATTTTCTTGATCAAAGTAAATTAATTCTGTCCTGCTATGAATATTTGATCAGTGTCCAAATTCCACATACATTTCCACCATGAAATATGTTGTCTTTGTGCTCTAAAAAGGCACATATGTAGGGGATTGTACTGGAGTGTAAAAAGGATCATTAGAATAGTCATATGGCTGAGATGAGGAATTAATTCCAAATTGTTACGGGTGTAGTAATAGCAGCAAAATCATGGCTTTCTCCCAAAGCAGCAAGAAATGGTAATTTCAAAGAAAAATGCCAATAGTCTATTACTCAGAATCCTTCTGCTTTTCCCACTATGATGTGTTTTATAGTTTTGAATATTTGTACAGATATTGTTTATACGCAGATGCAAAGAGAAACAAAACACAACGCACACATATTCACATTCTACAATGTGAACATTTAGATAAAGAAGCGAGGATAATCTAGAAATGAACTTTTTTTAAAAAAGAAGCTTTCTGTTAAGGCCAAAAGAGAACACATCCCTCCCCTCTTTAAACACAAAAGTTGAAATTAGGAATGTTGAATACACAAGTATACCCCATTCAATTGTGTGTTTTGTTTTGTTTTGTTTTGTTTTGTTTTGACTAACGTTATCATTATTTTGGTGGTGCTCAAAATTATTTGGCTGCTTCAGCCCAGCAGGGAAATCCAAATTCAGTGGCAATTCAACTGAAAAAAAATGTTCAGAATACAAGATGGTGAGATTGTGCTGAGAAAAAGACTAAGGGCAATTTAGCCATGCTAAATTTAGGACACGGGTGGCACTGTGGGTTAAACCACAGAGCCTAGGGCTTGCTGATCAGAAGGTCGGCGGTTTAAATCCCCGCAACGGGGTAAGCTCTCGTTGCTCGGTCCCTGGTCCTGCCAACCTAGCAGTTTGAAAGCACGTCAAAGTGCAAGTAGATAAATAGGTACCGCTCTGGCGGGAAGGTAAACAGTGTTTCTGTGCACTGCTTAAGAAGTGGCTTAGTCATGCTGGCCACATGACCCAGAAGCTGTACACCGGCTCCCTCGGTCAATAAAGCGAGATGAGCGCTGCAAACTCAGAGTTGTCCGCGACTGGACCTAATGGTCAGGGGTCCCTTTACCTTTACCCTTTATAATATTTGTAAATATCTTTATTATAGAAAAATATTTTTCCTGGATCATTTATAATCTGTTTGTCTGCTTCCAGTAGGGATTGGCTAATCCGTCAATTTCAATTTCTCATTTCTCCCCTCTTAAGCTTATATCTGTCCTTTTCCACAGCAGTTTGAGAATTTTTTTTAAAGAACAAGTCCTCTTGAAAATTCTGCAGCATTTTAGTATGCATTTCTCCCAATAAACATGGCTTCATATGCAATTTCCCCTAGTAAACCTAGTTCATTTTTTCCAAAGCAATATTCCTTTGCATCTGTTTTTGTATGTCATTCTGCATTTTATGGACAATTCATATGCATTTTTGTGCACGTGACTTGGCTGACGAACTGCACTGCAAAATTTGGAGAAGCGTGGGTTGTGAAGGATAGCTGTGTTTGCATATTGTTTTGAGAAGTGCAAATTAGGAATGTCCACCTAAGAATGAGAACTGGATTGAATTTCTACCCCATCCTGAGCTTTCAGCCCTTGGGACCTCGAGTGCATCATAATGTACACCAACTACGGCATTCATGGGCCTTTTTGGATGCAATTAGAATTGTTAGAATTGACAGAGATGAGGATCCATCCCCCATCACCTGTCCTTGCTGACAGGTGGAGGAAAAGGTCTGCAGCATGGTTTGAACTATGGAAAGGTGGCATACAGATGAAATTACGTGTGTGTGTATGTGTATCTTTTCTGTGGAGAATGTCCCAGGTTCAGTCCCCTGGCATATTCAGGTAGTGCTGGGTGAAGCTTTTTTCTGAGACCCTGGAGAGCTGCTGCCAGTCAGTGTAGACAGCAGTGAGGTAGATGGACTCATGATCCGACTTCTGTAAAGTACTAAGAGGCTGCTCCCATTTTCAATTAGGATGACCTGCAATTTAAGGAGCCGCAACTTTTATTTTTTTATATGCTGAAAACCTGACTAGTGGCCATTGTGGTGCTTATGCATTTAGATTTCCCTCCTCTCTCTGCATAGTTTTCTTGGCATAGTTTTCCTATCCACAGCTAACATTCTAAAACGATCTTTGCATCCCCCAATAGACCAGAATGGCCCTAAAGCAGCCATTCTGACCTGGAACGTAATAATATGGATAGGGGAGAAAAATGCTGAATACATGCATTTGCCCAATAGGCAATAATGGCTGTGATGAAGCCATTCTGCTTTATGAGTCTCACAATATACATTTTGAAGAGCTCCCCTATTGTTGGACCAACTGAGATGGCTCCAGCCAATGACATATCTGTAATGAAAGTTTTCGGAAACTTTCTAGATGAGAATTTGTCCGAACGTAGGCAACAGAAGCAGCTGAAAAGAGCTTCTGAGTAAATAGCTCTGTTTTGCAAAGGGCAGCTGCCCCAGTTATCACAAGGACAGCTGTTTTGTCACCCTGAGTTCCATTGGGCAAGAGCTGGCTGACATGGGCTGAAATGGCCTAGATCAAAATAGCTGCTGAAATGGGGGAAAGGCAAAATGCAGTGTCATTCGGCAGCCAGTGTAATATAGTTAGAGTGTTGGACTAAGACCTGGGAGCCCAGGGTTCAAATTCCCACTCAGCCATATGAAGATGCAGAACATGCCTCAAATTCCCTCTCCCCCCCAAAAAAATGCACTGAAGTATTTAAGTATTTAAAGGTAAAGGTAAAGGGACCCCTGACCATTAGGTCCAGTCGCGGACAACTCGGGGGTGCGGCGCTCATCTCGCTTTACTGGTCGAGAGAGCCGGAGTACAGCTTCCGGGTCATGTGGCCATAATGACCAAGCCACTTTCTGGTGAACCAGAGCAGCGCATGGAAACGCCGTTTACCTTCCCACTGGAGCGGTACCTATTTATCTACTTGCACTTTGACGTGTTTTAGGATTAGATAAATTTATAAGTGACTACATTGAGCTAAAAATATGTATCCATCCATGTATTTTGTAATATATATGAATATGTAAATATGGATTTTCATATAATATGGGATAGAATTGATTTGTTAACGTACTGAAAATTGACACAGTCTGATTCAGCCATCCCTAGACAGTTCCAGTTATACCCAGGACTTCTGGAAGGCTCAAAATGCACCACTATGCAGTTCTGTAGAACAGAATGGTCCTAGCCAAATACATTCTATTTGGAGTTGACCCACTGAAATTAAGGAACCTACATTAGTAATGTCCATCAATTTCAGTGGGTGTACTTTGAGTTGCTGATGGGTCTCAAACCCTCAGTAAGTTAGGGACTTTTCCTGCTTGCAAAGGCAGACTCTGGAGGATTGAGCATACGAGACCAATAGTGGGTCCAATGAAGAATGCCGTTTCTTCACATGCTGTAGAGGGAAGTTAGGGACAGGTGGAGCTCATTAACCTGGGAAAGTAGCCCATCTAGGAGAAGGAAAACTCTGATCCTAAACCTCTACTGCCTTGTGGCTATACTCATTTATACTTGTGGGACATCTTCCAGAGAAGAAAAGGCTAAGGAGCCCTTCCACGAATCCAGAGTGGAGTCCCTAAGAAAGTTGGATGGTACCTTGTGTGCCTCCTTCCAGTAACTCCTGTAGCTAAGATGGCGCCAAAAATATTTCTCTGCTTTCCTTAGGACCACATCAGCGAGGCCGAGAGGGGATATTGTTGTCTAGGCAGACCAGGACCTCCATACGCACTGCCCTGACTTGCTCTCCACGGAGGTCCCTTTGGTGCTGCTAATGCAGTGGTTTGACTTCAACCCCAGAGTGTGTGTTATTGGCAGATGCCAACAAACACAGGAATTAGGGGGATTTTTCTACCTTCCTCTTTTAGTCAGTCATCAATTGCTCTCCATCCACTTTGGATATGGAGGCAAATGTGCCTTCTCGTTAAATTACACTATACATATGCAGCACACTCTGCACAGTAGAGATTCCGGAAATGGTGTCCTCAGTTTTCTAAAGAGCAATGCAAGAAGCATATGGGGCCTTACCTGTGCTGTGTTTTTCTTCAAACATCTGGCATGTAATATATGACAATGATGTCTCAAACTCTCCTGTAGTTCCAGCATCAGCACAAGACATCCTGGGGCAGCTTCAGTGCCCCATTGGTGCTGATGCCTCTCATGAGCCCCTGTGCTGGGTGGATGGGTCTGGGAAACTACTATTTACAATTTCCCACAATGCCTCAGGGTTTCCAATTATAGGGAATTTACATGGTGGCATTTTCTCGTGGCATTGTGGATGAGTAAAATGGCGGCCCTCCAAGTTCTATACTGCAAGGCAATGTGAGAAATTCAAAATGGCAGCTTACATGCCGGCTGGTCTCCTCCATTTTGGAGGCAATTTTCCAAGTGGCATGAAGATGATGGGGTTTGTCTGTCCTAATCCCTTTTGGTCTGTAGGACAAATGGCACAGTTATGAATCCTGTCCCAAGTTTTTGGAAAGAGAAAAACTATTTGTTTCAATCTTTTTTCAAGAGAAAAGACTCCTTCCACATATCTTATTAACTTTGTTGCCTCCCACAGTTTGTAAAGACAAATGCAATGGCATAAGAAAAACAGAATAAAGACTTTTGGAAATGCAGCTAATATAAAGTGGTTGAGGGCAGAAGCTAGCAAACTCATATAAAGAAAATGACTGCTAATATACAGATATTTCATCATCTTCCTGCATATTATATATACTTTTAAGACATTAATCAAATGACTCACCAAACCTTAGAGGAAATATCACTAATTTTAAAGTTTTTTTTCTTTAAAGCCAGTGAAATATATCTGTTGATGAGTCATCGATATATATATGTGAATTATTGTTGCATGAGGCAATGGTAAAAAGACAGAAGGGTTTTCAAGACAAGTAATCAAAACTTCAGAAGTAGCTAGATATAATTACGTCTGTGACAAATGTAGATTGCATAATACCTGGACAGCCGAAGATGTAATATTCTTGGAACTTGACTCCAGCACTTTTTTTGGGAGGGGGGGGATAAGTTGTGCAGATATGGCAGAAAGGTTAGTCTCATGCACCTGGTTAAAATGGAAGACCACCTGGTTAAATGGAAATTATGTGTGGTGGTGGAAAAACATTTTGAGCACTTATAGAACACAGCTGGAAGCAGCACAGGTACAAACTACAGTTAATTGTCTGTGCCTGCCATTGGCTCTGGCGCCTCCTACTGTTGGCCTCCCTGCTTTCTGCTCTACCAATCCCAGTGGGCACCAGCCATCATTGTAAAACAACAACAAAAGAAGTCATAACGCATGTAGAAGTTCTTCCTTGGTCAATACATCTGAGCAATTTTAAGTTAAGTGAAAAAGAGCTTTGCTAAGCCTGGTGAAATTTGTCAGACGGGTATTACACAACCCAACAATAAGACCCAATTCCATGCAGATCTCCATGTAGAAAGAATGCTGAACACCTGCATTTTACAGGGGTTAAGTATTGCCTGCCTAAATATCTTAGTTCAGCTAGATTCTTATATTATTCTCTGCTTCTTTGGTGTCACTTAAAATAAATAAGCTTTTGCTTTTTAATCTGAGATGCTGGTTTGTTATGAAAGTTGAATAATTTAGCTGGTATTTTGTCACATTATAACTTGTCTTACCACCCAAGATGCCATAACCTGTAGTGACAGTTTAGTAAGGTGCCTCAAAAACTCCTTGCTAGTGATTTATAAATGGCAGCGTTACACATTATCTAGGTATTATTCACTAACTTTAGCAAGAAGGGGGGAAAGCTCTTTTTCCTAAAAGAGTTTTTTTGTTTTGATGGAAGCCTAAACATCCAGAAATGTGCACTGGCAAAACTCTCCAATTTAGATATGCAGCTTCATTACTTTGTATCTAAACAAATTCTTGCTGTATTTTTATTAGTATATGTGTGGGCAAGATGTATGATGCCATTTTTGGGAGAAGATGAATTGCAGTGGAATGGAAACAGTGCAGCATGTGATGAATACAGGGCAGAATGAATATGGTGCCTTCTCACATCCCTAGTTGGGGACTGGTGGGGGGGGAGGAATTTTAAATTTGGGGGGGGTATCATTTTATGTACAACTGTAAACTGCTCTGATGTCTTTTTTATGAATTGCGGTACACAAATATTTTTATAAATAAATATGTAAATAAAATGAATAGAGTTTCCCTTTGGTTTTACTTCTGGATGTGATCCAGAATGTATGGCCAGGGAATGACAGATGCCTGCAACCAGATGTAATGAAGCATGGTAACATTTCTGTCTAATCCACGTATCTCACTGCTGCCACATAAACCAAAACAAATGGGCAATGTGGAGGCAGAGTATAGCTATAATGACTAGTGGCCATTGATAGCCCTCTACTCCATGAATGTGTGCCCAATCCTCTTTTAAAATCGCCTAGGTTGGTGGCCATCGCTGTGTCCTGTGGGAGTGAGTTCCATAGTTTAACAATGTGCTCTGCGTGAAGAAGGAGGGCTTCCTTTTCTCTGTCCTGAATCTTGGATATTCATGAGTTCTGAAAGAGGAAAACCTTTCTCTGTCCACTCTCTCCATGCCATGCATAATTTTGTAAATTTCTATAAGTTCAAAGTTCCCTCTAGTGCAATATTCTGGTTCCTACAGAGGCCAAAGAGATTCCTCTGGGTAGCACATGAAACAGTAGTCGTGCCCCATTGCTCCCCAGCAACTGTTAGTGAGAAGCACACAGCTTCTGGAGACTCACGGATACACATGGCCATCATGATAAGTAGCCACTGGCAGACTGTTTTCCTCAGTGAATTTGTCTCAAACCCCTTTAGAGCCATCTAAACGCATGATCATGACCACACCTTTTGTGGTGGGGAACGCCGTAAATTAAGCTTTTAAAATTGGAGCAATGGCGGTCTTAATTAAAGAGCTGCCAAACGGAAGAAACAGATAGAGACCATAAATATCATTTTTAAGTATTAGAACAATAACATTAAGACTAGCTATCAATACAGAATAAATGGTTGTTGTCCGATAGTATTCAGTTCAATGGGAGTGTAGCCATTGATTTGAAGAGGCCGCAGAATATGCTCAGTTATCGTAACGCAGGATTTATTTGTGTTGGAAAAGAACGCGGACAGAGGTTTAGCAGCTCAGGAGCATGATCCTTAGCATTTTAGACTGCGGCCCTGATCCTTGGCCAGCCAGTGGCGGGGCTCCCTCCTGCTGCTGGCAAAATTTGGTGCCATGGTTGCCTTCTGCCATTTCCTTGCCCCAGAATTTCTGGAGGCCATTTATGTGCAGCGCTTGAAAAAGCAGAAGAACAGGAGGCTGTCTTCTGCAGAGTCGGGCCCACGGTCCATCTAGCAGCAGCTCTCTTGGGTTTCAGAAAGGGAGTCTTTCCCTGCCTGACCAGCAGGTGCCATCAGGGACTGAACCTGGGACCTTCTGCACAGAAGCAGGTCCCCTGCCACTGAGCTACTCATTTCAAGAGGACGCATGTTTCCACATTCTCCAGATTGCATCAAGCAGCATCGAATGAAAAATATGTCCTTTGCATCTCTGTTTTACGGAGCGCTCGGAAAATAAAAAAAAAGCCTCCCCTTATATTGTTATGCCAGAGGGAGTCTAATGAAAGTGAACATGGCACAGCTTCCTGGAAAGGAAGACCCTGCCTCCCTTTAAACATGTAAGGCCACCACCTCTTGAACCCTCCCTCCTTTCATCCCTTGTAAGGCAAGAGAGATGATAAGAAGTCATGTGGGCTTTCTCCCCCTGCCAGCAGCTCCAACAGCTGTGAAGCCCTCTTTCAGCACAATTCATAAAAAAAAGAAAAGACGACGTGTTGGATTTTTTTTTTTTTTGCCCGTGGCGGAACGGCGTACAATTTCTGGCCCTTCAGGCTAAAACAATAAAATGCAAAGAGGAAAATGTGAGAGGGGGGTTTCTTCCTCCGCCCCCCCCACACTCCTTTAAACTTCCCACAACAACCTCAGCAAAACCACATGACTTGTCTTGTACTATCTCCCTGGTGTTTTCAGTGCTACTTTGGCAGGAAATCAGAATTACTGTTATATAAATTCCATCTGATGCCAGCGCTACCATCTGTGAGTAAAACTGTTTCACCTACGTCTGCCGGCAAAGCCACTCTCTTAGAGACGAGGGAGAAAGCCGGGGGAGGGAGGGAGAGAGGGAGGGGGGAATTTTGATTAATTTGCAGAATGCTTGTGATTTGCTCATATATTATTATAACTGCTCATCACCACATGACAAATTCCCAGCACTCTGCACAGGATCCCGTTCGGTTTCAGCAGTTCCTTTGTATCGGCACCTGACAGACTGCGGAGCCTCTAATGACTTTCAGATGCTTACAAACAGTAATTCTATCTTCAGAATAAGAAAGGGGGGGAGGAACAGTGGAAAGAAGAAAGGGGAAAAAAAGAGTTGAGTTAGTTTGTCTCATTTCCTTCCTCTATATCAGTGCAATTTAACTCTCAAGGGCAGTGTTGATCTCCAAATCATAACAATTCAATAATAATAATAATTATAATAATAAAATAACATTAGCAGAAAATGTTAAATAATAATAGTAAATAATAATATTAATTAATGCCCAGCGTATCAAAATAAGATAAATGATTACTCAGGAATCTGGCCACCTAAAAAAAGCCATTTGCTGGGACAATTTTTCAAAGCTCCCTAATTTTATTTATTTGCCCCGTTTGGATATTCCTGATAACCTTCATGCATTTCTAGTGAACACATCTGCTTTTTAACTGCAGATGATTCTGCCCCCCTTCCTTTCAAGCTATGATTATGCTTTCTGAACCACTGTCTGTGTGCTTGATTGCCTGTTTTAGATTAGAGATTTTAGCAAGGAAACAAAGACTTCAGAATGCACATCAGTCGTACATATGAGAAACCACAGAAGGAATAAGCAGTAAAATGTGATGCACCATCTGTCCGCAAACAATAACCTGCATGTTCTGAAGGCTTACAAATTATTTAGTGCACAACCTTGCCGAATTATTGGCCCCTTAAATAGAGCAATAGGCTGGGAGTGAGAACCTCTTTGATGCTCCCCCCCCGGCCTGTGTATTTGGCTTTGGTTTGCCCCCACCTCCAAACGCCAAACTCATCCTCAATTGATTGCTAACAGTGGAGGTATTTCCCAATGACGATTGGAGCAGGTTGATTTTCATTAACTAGGTCTCTGTAGGGTTTTGTGGCACGGATTTGAACAGTGGGGTATATATTGCTTCTCTAGCCATAGTCTGCTTCAAATATCATGTTAATCAAAAGATGGCCTCAAATAGCGGCCACTTGAGAGGTAGACTTCCAAGGGCCAAATTCTGCCTCAAACTGGGATAAGCTATCGATTTCAACTTCAAACCCTAAAGAAGGACTTCTTAGAGATATTTGGAAGTTACAGGCTATGCTTTTTTTAAGGACAATAAAACCTATTGTAGCTTACACTATATAAAGTTGTCAAAAAATGAAATGATTTTTTAAAAATCAGTTTACAGGAACTCTGTAAATTGGCATTTTTTAATTTTAATTTTATACTGCCTTAAATTTCAGGATCTTCACCCCATCTAGTTGGCCTCTGTTTCAGAACTTTACAGTAACCTTCAGCATTTTTTCTTCAGAGATGGATGCAGCCATATGTCTAATAGCATGATTTTATTTATTTATTGTTACTTTTGCATTTATCCTGAAGTAAAGAGAAGGTTTCTTGGTGACTAGAATCTCAGTATCTATGGCACTTTTGAGACAAATCTGCCACTGCATTGGCAAATTAATTTATCAGTAATTATAAAAGCAGACAAATGTGTAAGGCAATTTTCTGAAGAGCAGGACCAGGACTTTACTTTACCATGCATATACTGCTTTAAATTTCCCCCTTGTGTGAAGATAAAGGATATAAGAAGAGTCCAGCTGGGTAATGCAAAAGGCCTACCAAGTTCAACCTTGTCCTGCTTCTCACAGTGGCCAACCAGATGCCTTCAATAATCTCGCAAGTAGGGAGTGAAAACCACAGCCCTTTACTGCTCTTGCACAAGGCGCCCCAGAGCTAGAAACATTAGAATCTTTCTACCCAAGGGTGCCAACTTAAATAAAATATTGAGGGGGGCAGGTAAGCCCCACTCCACATAATCAATCACATGATACAGCAGACAGACACCATTTGAATGGCAATGCCCATCAACCTTTTGAGGGACGACTCTTCAAATAGTTTGGGGGGGGGCGAAGGGACCTTGACCCCTAGGAGTTGGCTCCTATGTCTTGCTTGCTTGTCATTACCCAGGCTGTAGCTGTCACAAACAACTAAATAAATCTGAACTCACTTTTCTCCCTGTTCTTTCCTGACAATGGTAATACTTCTATTTACACTGGACATCCCCTTCAACCAGTTGACTGTGCAGCATCATTCATGAAAGATTCTGAGTTCCATGGAATGGAAGATATGCCTTGCATTGCAACACTGAGCCTCCTCAACCGCTCCAGGACTCAATATTATCAATGGAAGAGAAGCCTTAGAGAGATGCTTGAGCCTACGTATATTTTGAGCCAATAAACCACATTACAGATGCCACAGTTAAGCCATGTGCCTATTATGCCTTGTTACTGTTTCCTTTTGCTTTAACCTCAAGAACGTCAAAGACAAACTCTTCCACGCTGTGCAGAAAGTGGAACGAAAACAGACCTGATCAGGGAGACAGGAAAATCTTTCAAAATAGCACCTTGCTTAGGATCAAACCACCTCACAAAGCAGGAAACTCAGCTTCAACTTGTACACTGCACTTCCTTTTCAGAAAACTTCTGTGCAGCTTAAAATGTTGTTTCCTGCTTTTCAAGTGCTACTTGACTGCAGTCTTGTATTTTGGACCTTCCAGATTAAATTCACAGTTGTTGACTAAATCTCTCAGAAACAAGACTTGTCACCAAGTCCACTCAAAATGAAATATCGAAGCAAACTGAAAGTAGGGGAATCCTGATTTTTTATTCTTGAAATTAAAAGTGTTATAGTAAGACTAGAAATACTTCTCAGTAGGGAAAAGGGGGTGTTCTCTAGATGCTTGACTAAAGCAACAATTTTGGGGGATGTTGAGACAAACAAAAAGAAATCTGTTGAATTAGTACGATTTCCCAAGGATTCCTTGTTTGTGAAAGCAGACAGGATACGAGTCCTGCTCAGTAGAGAGACATCCCCTTCCCTGAGCTAGAAATGGGTGAAATTTTTTGTTTGGTTTACATGGGTCTACCTAACTCACGCTTCCGGAAACAATTAAACCAAAACACACAGCTACCCTTCAGAATTTGCACTTCTCCAAATATTGGGGTGCCGTTTTCTGACCAACGATGTTCCTAAATGTGCATACATTGGTGAAAATAACTTTTAAAATGGGGGATTAGGAAAAAATGTGTATCTATTAGGCAATGCTGCATACAAAATTGTGTGCGTCAGGAGAAACGGGCAGTAAAAGAATTACAAATTTTTGTTAGAACTTACAAAAAACTAATTTGGATATATGGGAAACGGAGAGACATCTAAATTTTCAGATTTGCCCATCTGAGTCCACCTGTTCTTACTCAGAGCCTAAGTCACACATTGGTAGCCACATCAGTGTTTTTTTAAAAACCAATTCCTAGGTGCGAATTCCGATTAGTACTATAGCTAGTGGGGAGGGGAGGTTTAAGCTTCCCCTCTCTAGCTGTGACTGCAATAAAAAAATGGCTCTTCTGCACTGTAATTACCAATAGAGAAAAGCTCTCACTGAAGCCAGTGGGAGTTCTTCCCACACGAATGGCAGTGGAGGGATGGTTTCAGTTTGGGACCACAGCTTGGGAGGGAAAGTTAAAGCTCCCCCAATCCATGCACGGTGATCCTGACATAAATTCTTCCCATGCTAACATTTGAGAAACAAATAAAGAAATCCCCTGGCAAGGCAGATAGCCATGCAATTAGCGTAACATGTAGTTAGGCTCTTAGATACAACCCACCAGCCTCATTAGTATAGGTGCTTTCTTTCAAGTACCTTGCTGTATCATCAAATCCGACCACTAGCTTGGTTTAAAAAAAGACCACAGAGAAAGAAGTCAGAGGTAATTGGGCTCAATTAATTTCAACATAAGTCTCTGAAGCCGTTCTGAAACCCCCCCCCAAAAAAAGAGAGAGAGAGAGAGAGAGAGAGAGAGGGAGAGAGAGAAGATACAATAATGAAGTGGAAACGTGCCACTCCAATGTAGTGTGAAGGTCACGTTTAAAATAATAATAAAATACGTGTGAAAGCCACACTGCAAGAATGTCTCTGCCAAAATGTTTGTGCCCCACAAGCGATATAGCTGTCTCATCTTGTAGGAGCTAGATAAGAGCTGTCTAAGCAGCAGTCCTACAAGATCTTGCCCAGCGTTTTCCAACAATCCAAACTTGAATAACAATGGCAAATTCAGCCTTTGGAAGCAGCCATAGTTTCTATGCATGGTCGGCATTTACCTTCACATAATTTTATACGCAAGTTTGTAGTAAAGTTTCATTAACTTAGGACCCATCTGCACTATACATTTCAAGCACTATGAGGCCACTTTGTCTTTCCCCAAAGAATCCTGGGAAATGTAGTTTGTTAAGGGTGCTGACAGTTGTTAGGAGACTTTGGGCTCTCAAATTTTTATGGTGCCCTATGCAACACTAAAATTTGGTGTGCCCCCTACCTCTTGCTCTCGGTTCTACAGCATTGTTGTGGCGCCCCCTGCAGCGCAGCACCCAGTGTGACTGCACCAGTCACGCTACTCTGAAACTGCTCCTCGGAGACGCTTATCCCCCTCACAGAACTACGATTCCCAAAGTGCTTTAAACATCAGTACCTCTTCCCAACAGACTCTTTTTGCCAGACCTGTGCTGTGGGACTGGATGCCTAGCACTGGACTACTTGAAGATCCTGGAAGGAACATAAGACAACGAGAAAAGCTTTCTGGATCAGGCCAGTGGCCCATCTAGCACAGCACCCTGTTCTCCCAGGGGCCACCCGGGTGCCTGTGGGAAACCTACAATCAGGACTCCAGCACAAGAGCCCTCTCCCCTCCTGCACTTCCCAGCGTGCCGACTTTATTCTGCCCACATGCCCTATGACAAAATTTATGCAATTCCATTAACTTCAGTTAAGGATGTAAAAGGTAAAGGTAAAGGGACCCCTGACCATTAGGTCCAGTCGTGACCAACTCTGGGGTTGCGGCGCTCATCTCGCTTTAGTGGCTGAGGGAGCCGGCGTACAGCTTCTGGGTCATGTGGCCAGCATGACTAAGCCGCTTCTGGAGAACCAGAGCAGTGCACAGAAACACCGTTTACCTTCCCACTGGAGCGGTACCTATTTATCTACTTGCACTTTGACGTGCTTTCGAACTGCTAGGTTGCAGGAGCAGGGACCGAGCAACGGGAGCTCACCCCGTCGCGGGGATTCAAACTGCCGACCTTCTGATCGGCAAGACCTAGGCTCTGTGGTTTAACCCACAGCGCCACCCGCGTCCCTTCAGTTAAGGATGTATGAAGTAGCAAAAAGCAACTTTTGAAAACAGTAGGAAATATTAGCAAGAAATGGGCTTCACTACTGCACTCCCCACCCACTTTTGCACGGTGAATTTTATCTCACCCAGTTTGTATTTCTAGCATCCAGGCGCTTTTCTTCATGCAAAGCTGTTCCTGATAGTCTTTCAACATTAGAAGTACAAAGGAAACGATCCTTCTGGATCAGACCAAGTTCTGACTGGTCCAGCACGATCTGTTTTCTACTGCAGTCAGCCAGATGCCTCTGGGAGCTTACAGGCAGGATCCTGGTGAATAAAGATGGCCTTCTGCTGTGGCTTATAGCACATGGTAGTCAGAGATACAGTGCTTCTGGACATGGAGGCTTTGACAATCCTGCCAGCATTTGCCGGCAAATCTAATTGATTTCAGCAGGAGTTTTTCAGGTGTGTAGCCAAATGCAGGATTATAGCCAGCAAGGAAGGCAACTATTTCATTTGTTTTCTAACAAATAGAAAATGTAAATGACAGCAGGTTGTTTCAGGCCTTATGTAGGTGGGTTTATTGAATAGATTATTAGTGAGGAATAATGGTCCAGAAGTTGCTATAAAGGAACTGAGATCCTTTGCAGAGGCGTAAGTTGCTGCTGCGGTTGCTTTTAATCCTCTGTGTATCCCACAACGGCTTTTAGCTGCATCCCTCATCAATGCCTTTTTAAAACGAAAAAACAACAACAAAACAGTAGTTTGATTTGTTTATGAACGAGTGTGTCCTTATTTCCATGAGATACAGACATTGACAGCAAATAGACCTTTTCTAATTGAACTGATAGGCTGAAAGTGAACATGTCCTTGAATCTACACTGAAAGATAGACAGCGATTATTTATAATAGGGGATGCACCAACTGCAATACCATTTGTACAGCAAGGACTTTATCATAAGTCTCGTGTTTAGGCAAATAGTGCCAAATAAGATAAATTCTGTATACAGGTCCCTCTCTTTTTTCTTTTGCAGTGTCAGATGTACGGAGAAAAAGACGCTTTGTTGATGGCATACCCTGTAAAGTGTCCTAAGAGGGAGGGTTAAGATAACGTTGTTGTTGTTGTTGTCTCTGCCATTAATACATCAAAGTTTCCACATACTGACCGTCTCCGTCCCTGGCTGTGTACATCAGGAAGCTTTTAATTTATATCTCCGACTAATTTCATTCGAAACACTTTCAGACATAGGTTTTCGTAGCTTTACAAGAGAACTGCTGGGTTTGCAAAACAGCACGGGTGCGTGTGCATTAATAAACGGCCTGTGTGTTTAATCAGAGTTGAATCCTTTCTTTTAAATCTCTCTCTCTCTCTCTCTCTCTCACACACACACACACACACACACAAAAAGTCTCCTCGAGTCCCCCCCCCCCTTCCGATATTAGAGCTCAGCTATCTCCTTGCTGAAGGACCTATTTGTCTACTTTAAGTGAAATCACTCAATTCTCAAAAGTCAGTGGAGGACTTTGAAAGCGGGGGGAGGGCCGGGAGAGGCCACTCCAAATAAGTTCCATTAATCAAAAGGCACAGTCTAATGTAACTAATATTTTACAATTAGAGGAGACAAGATGGAACTAAAAGCCATCTATCTCTCTTACACCACATGATCATCGATTCATAATCAGAAGACTGAGAGTCGCACAAAGATGCATTTACAGGGGCTGGGGAGGAGAGAGGGAGGAGGACGGGGAGGGGGGAATTGGTCTGAGCTCGAGATAATGAACACGATGAGAAGGAGCAGCGCTGAAGGCTGGGGGAAGATGACAGAGTGGTTCAATGGTGACGGATGACACGGAGATGAGTACTGATACCTGACAGGCAGCAAATGATGACTGCGGTCCTTTCCCACCATTATGATACTCAATTATCTTGGTAAGGGCTAAAAGACTGAGGTGGTGGTGGGGGACACACACACACACAAAGTGGCTCAGCCTATTCGCTTATTTATAAAGCTTGGCCAGGATAGTACTTGATTGTGCCAGGATCTGTTGGGGGGGGGTCGGTAGAAAGGAGAGGGAGACCCCCTTTTCCTGCAATTGGAGCTGCAGCACTTTTCGAAGAGCTGTAGTTTTCCTTCGCCTCCACTCCTGGGCACAACAAGAGATGAGGAGGGTAAGAGAGAGGGCTTGGCCATCTGCTTTGTGAGCTTCAAAGGGGGAAGCAAAAGAAGAAAAGAGAGAGATTCTTTCTCTTTCACTGCCACCTTCAGGATAAAGGAAAAGAAAACAACCCCCCCCCCCAACAATGGTGGAAAGGGAGATTGCCACGGATGTATCATCTAGCAATCCAGAAGTCATATTTTTCAGATCTTCCAAATGTGGGTCTACATGGTGGGGTATAAACTGGGCAAGAGGGAAGGACAGTAGTAGGAAAGGAAGAAGCAGGAGAGATTTCTCTCTCTCTCTCTCTCTCTCTCTCTCTCTCTCTTTAAGGGTTCTTCATTGACTTAGGGAATTATTAATAAAAAGGGAGGGAAGTTACTAGGAGAGAGCTTTGTAGTCATGGAAGATGCCACAGGCAAACACTGCTCTTCCAAAACACAAGGCTGCCTGTTGCACTACATTATTTATTTTCAAAGACACAGAAATCTCCAAGATTAAAGAGAGCTGCGATCGGAGCTTTGGAATATGTTCCTCTACCTGCCCTCTCCACAGAATTGCACAGTGCTGGAAACAGTGTGGAAAAGGTGACAAATATTTTGGTCCAATCCTAATTTTCACCAGTTGATTCTAACATCGATAAGGTTTCTTTTAATGTAACTTTTCTAATTGTGCATGAACTTTTTTCTTTGTAAAAAGTAAAGAAAGTAGAAGAAAGCAAATTTCTGAAGATAAGTATTAATTTAGCAGCTTTTTTAAAAAACTAAACAATTTCTTTATTTGAAGCATGTTATATACCACCCATCATCCTATTTAGGATTTCAGGATGCTTCAGACTCTGTGCTCAATGGTTGAAATCCAGAAAACATAACCAGGCCCTGTTGTTGCCTCTGAAAACCAAGAACCCACAAGCACAAGCTGTTCCATAGCTAACAATAGAGAAGTCCAGAATATATTTGCTGGATCATAGCCAATGAGCGTGTTGCGATTTGCTTTGTTCTTTTATTCTCGGGGTCATCGTTATTCAGAATTCTGTGTATTTTGTTTTAGTCTAAAGCCTTCCATTTTTCTTCACAACATTCCTTTGAGGAAGGTCTCTATTATTCCCATTTCTCATAGAGAGAACTGCTCAAGCTTGTAGTGTTCTTTCTTATGTGGGCAGAAGCATCCAATGCTCACAGTCTCCCTGAGGTTGTTTTTTGTTACTCATAATTCCATACGTATTTATTTAGCAGAAGAGAAATGGTCAAAGTGCAGGGCCAATACATTGATTTCTCCATTGAAAGTGACTAATGAGCGGCTAAGCAACAGAATTGGTCCAAGAAAAATAAATACAGCCGTGTCTCTTGTGATACAAAACAGGAAGATGGAACAATTTAGAAAATTTGAGTATCCAAGAACATTAGATCAAATAGATTTATAAAGCATACAATAACGGAGTTCATATGAATCTACAAGCAAAAGTGCCTAGTGCTGGGTGATAATATGGAGTGATATTAATGGAAACTAACAGCTTTGTGTTAAAAAAAAATATTTTGAGGGTTGGCCATATCTGCCATGGTATGATAGCATAATCTCAACACATAAAGTAATGCGATCGTTGTAAACGGATCCACTAAGAGCAACACTTTGCAGCGTAATAAAAATATTGTAATATTATTTGGACACCCGCCCTCCCCCCCCCCCAAAAAATAGCAAGGCTTTGGGTCTCTAGGTGCTATATTAAAAATAACTGCATTGAAACATGATGCAACTGGGGTTACGACTGTGCATGTAAATGGACGGAAAGACCATGGGTGTGTGCTGGCTACGGACAGGCACGTAAACAAGGTCTCAATAGTTCAAGTATAGGGGAGAAATCAATAGATAGTATTAAGCTAACTATATTTGCCATTGCTTGCATCAGTAAGTGATATGCTGCCTTAAACCTTTGAGTGGTGTGCCCGACTTAATAGGCACTTAGGGAATATCCTGGTTCGAATTGGCAACACTGATGCAAATGGAACATGAAGAAAGATTATGACATATGTCTCGGAGCCTTTATGGATGTCGTTTGATGGACAAAGAGGATTTCCAGGTGGCTGTTAAAGTATACTACTTTATGTAGGGTACATTTTTATGAAGCTGCTCTTCAAATTAGGACCACTATCGCTCGTAACTTTGCACGATGCATTTTTTTATTATTATTATCCTTCACTTCCCAGTTCAACATCGACACACAGAAAGCACAATAGCTAATATTGTGAATACATTTGCACTGTCTCTGTCATTGAAAATAATGGGCTGAACCATATTGGAAAACCTCTGGAAGCCTAATCATTCAAGAAAAGAGAAATGTCACTCCAGACAAATTTCCTATAGCTGGTAAACTCCCTGGAAATCAGTCCAAAAACAACAGATTACTGTTACTTTCCATTTCAACTTTCAGATTTGGCAATTAGGGAGTTTTCAGGAGTGAGCACTTCATGCACATGAGTTCCTTAACTAGCATCTTTCCTCGTTACATTAATGTCTAATTAGAGCATTCAATTGGTTTTTTATATGATTCAACGTTTTGTATCTGAAATAGAAACGCATTTGCAATGTTCCTGTTTCCGTATCAAGAAGCACTTCCCTCCCCAAACTCTTACACTACTCAAAGGGTGCACATTGTCAAAGACTCTGTGCCAATCTTCCCCAATCCAGTGCCCTCCAGATGTTTCAAACTAGAATTTCCATCATTGCTTTTTTAAAAAAAATATTAACAATTTCAACATAACAAATTATCAAAACAAATCATCTTCATTATCAGACTTCCCTAAGCTCCTCTCTCTGATTTCTCAACTCATGTTATTCTCTGCATACTGTAAAATTGTATATATCCTTATCTGTCTACTATATTAACCCTCAATAAATTTGTGTATGTTTATTCAAAACCTGCCAAGGAGTCCAGTTCATTTTGTTGTTGTCTTTTTAAATAATTAGTAAAAAGTTCCCATTCTTCTTTAAAGACCATCATTGCTGACCATTGGCCACGATGGCTGGGGCTGATGGGAATCCAGAACATCTGGCAGATGCCAGTTTGTGGAAGCACCACTTTACTCCATATGCTGGATTCATTTGCTCTGTAGTGGGTTTCCCTCTCCTGAGCTAAAAGCTAAGATGTGAAAAACTAAGGTGGAGTAGGGGGAAAAAACCACACACAATTGCCCAGCACTACATTACTGACAGATCAAAACCAAGCTCTGCAGTTAGCAGTGTTGTGCAAATGAGAGGCTGTGTACTGCATGGGGCTTTAGGGACAGAGGAAGCCACCTTAGACCAAGTCAAATTATGTGTCTGTTGCTTCCTCTGACTGGAATCAGTTCTACAGGGTCTTAGACGGAGAGAGACGTTTGTCCTGACCGGTTCCCTGAACCTGTAAAATGAAGCTCCCAGGGAATGAACCTGGGACCTTCTGCATGCAGTGCAGGTACCCTGAATTGAGGTTCCTCTGCCTGAGTTCATGCAGGCGTTTGAATACTTGTGGTCTACAAACAAGATATTTCTTCCCTTGGGCGGGTGGGTGCTCTAAATGCCAAATAAGCACTTCCAGCAACGAGCACCAGCCAAATTTAAATAAGGCACCCCCCCCCATACAAAATAAGTGCAATGGTCTACCAGTGACAAAATCCAGCCATGCAAAATGACATTTTCTCTTAAAAACACTGAGGGAACATGCAATGACTCCTGCACGTGCCAAGTTTGAGGGGACCCAAGGCATGGTGTCATACAGAGACGCCTTTCAGTAAGGTCACGGTGGGCTCACTGTGGGCAGTGAGAGGCGGTGGGAAGCAAGCAGCAGTGCTCAACCCGTTGCTGAGAAAGGTGGCCAAAGCCGATGCGGATTTATTTATTTACTTCTGGATAAAGATGCTGGAAATCAGCTGCAGCAAGCCCCTCTGAGGCCTGTAGCCCTGTCATTTGCCCCACAAATGTTGGCTGCTGACGCTGGGTACCATGCAGTCACAGGACAGGCCCAGGTGCCCATCTAGCCAATTGACAGTGTGCACCTGGTAGGTAGGTAGCCTGTATCATCCTGCCAAGTGGTCAGGAGAATGGATTCATGATGTAGATGTCTGGCCAAATATGTGGTAAAATGGCCATCTCTAACCATCCAGAATTATGCCACAATATGGCACTCAGTAGGACTATTAGCTAGGGGCTCTTTGATCAGCCAATCGCTTTCTCTTCACTACTCTTTCATGTATCCAGATATTCCTCTCTATCAACTCTTGGACCTAGCTGTCAACTTTTCCCTTTTCTAAAAAGGACATTCCCTTATTCCAAATAGGATTCCTCGCAAGAAAAGGGGAAAGTTGACAGCTATGCTCTCAGAGTGGGAAGGATTTTAAAAACCAAGCAAAACACATGATTGTGCAATGAGAATAATGCAATGTTGCAATATTTACGCACAATTCTATTTCGTATTTGCATGCGTACAGTTTGATTTTTCTGGTTGCCAGTTCTGGAATATTTTGGTGGCAAATCTTCCTCTTCTTAATGACGAAATTTCATTTACCTCTACACTTGAATTCCTCTTCCTTCTACAAATACACGCTTCAGATTTCCCTGTACTCCTGACCAATTCCCCTCTTTCCCTCTCTACTGGTTCTACTGTAATGCCAATATCAGGAACTTCAGGTTTAACTCAGATTTTTGGCACAGTTATAATCCTGCATGGTCTTGATTCGTTTTGGTTTTCATATTGGGGAAATGGTTTGAAATTGTGTGAACCCATAATATTTAAACTAAGAGCAATTCTGCAAGGTGAATTATGTCTAGCACTGCAATTATCTCTTTCAAAGCAATTGAGCTGCACATCTGAACACAACATTGTATTTTTGCTGCCTTATTCAACAACCAGTTACACTGCAGTTCTTCGATTTAAGACAATTCCGTCCACTGACCTGCCTTCTGTTTTTCTATTTTTTTTCTGTTACATCTAAAAATATATACATTTGGGAAGGGCAAAATATTACAACTGTTTCGTACAGCACTGAGGTGTGATGCAACTTGGGATGATTAATTTTCTGTCCATGAATTTTCTATAAGCCCTGGGTCTTAGCACCCTAGAAAGCAGGAAGAATGGGGGGAAATGCACTCTGAAACCATGCAACTTTGAAAAATTCTGAACTTTTGATCTACTTTTGTGAAATATGTACCCTGTTCCAATGCACAAACTGTTAAATATTCAGCTGAACCTCAACATTAGAACTGAAAACTCTGGTAATTCAGAAACCGAGTGATAATGAGGATCTGGCAATTTTTTCACTTTCTGCTCTTCACAAAGCATTTATCATGAAACATATTGTAGTGGTAGTTTTAGGATATCGAGATCTAACATGTCACAGGCTTACAAACCCATCACAAACCTGAGCCAAAAGTATTTATTTTAATGATAGATTAGCGATTCGTAATCTGGTTGTAAATAAGTATTAATAGTTCAAAGTAATAATACCACCATTTAACATTTCCTTATCCCCAGCAGTTTGCTAAGGTGCTGCTAATAATTTTAATACAAATTAGGTAGGAATGATCTCTGAAATGAAACCATAATAAAATGCATGGTTACAGATAGACCTCTAACTACATAATAAGGGAAGAATTCAAAAATAATTATTTAGCCAAATATTAAACCTAAAAATCTATCAAATGTCTCATTAAAATGCAGATTACTTAGAGCTTATTATCCATTCATATACCATTTGACCAAAAAGGGGGGGGGTCCCCTTCTCTTCTATAATTTGATCTTAAACTGAAACCATTGTTCAAAGGCTAAAACTCATAATCCGCCTAACACTGAACCCCAAACTAATGATATGCCTTCAAATTTCTGCAAATGAGTTTGAACATTGAAATAACAAACCAGAGAGGCGGCAGGGAGGGAGGGGAGGGGGGGGACACACCAAGGCCTTTAAAAGTGGTCTTCGGCGCCACCTAGAGGATTTACAGTCACACAGCTTTTTGGCACATGGAGGAAAATTAAATACAGCTGAATAATTGAACGCGAGGGCAAGTTCAACCAGGGGTCACCATCTGCTTGACTAGAACTCTTGGCAGATTTCAGCTAAGGCTCACGCGCATCGTAAACATGCTTGCAGATCTTGTATCGTGCACACTGCCCTGAAAAAATAAAAGAAAACAGTTCCTACAACATCCTTCAGCTAATTACACGTATTCTGTCATGTCGTCATGGATACAAAAAAAAAAAATGAAGGTCAAAAAGATTCCTGAGCTATTAAGCAAGATATCAGTGAAAAGACAAAGGCATGCTCTGCCTTCAAAGCCCATAGACTTGGTGCAAAACTGCCTTTCCATGGTGCCCATCTTCTGCAAACTGAACATTTGGCCAGTAAGTACATACTGGAGATTTTGGGGGGTTTTTTTGTAAATCTCTCACATACACAAATTTCCCCCTGTCTATGAGGGGGACACTTTATTCATATAGCACTGTGGAGTGCTCGATTGCACTACAGTAATCTTCACGGTACTCCTATGACATAGAGCAATGTGACTCAGTTACAAGCGACCTGCAGCAAATTGTTGCAGCACACCTTCCTTCATGCAAAGAATGCAGGGCATTCTACCATGCCAAACAGCACAACTGGTTAATCCATTGGCCTGGTCCACCTAAGAATGTTCCGGGAAGCAATGCTACATCTGGAACCTAACAACGTAAGGACATAAGAAGAGCCTGTTGAATCAGGCCATTGGCCCGTCTACTCCAGCTAGCCTGGATGAGTCCTTTTGGAGCGCTTCACGGTCTCTTTTCGTTTTAACAACCTTGAGCAAGGTAGTGTTGTCAGCAAGTCTGGCCAGCTGGCCGCTCAATCCTAACTCAAGACCATTTATGAACAAGCTAAAAAGCACAAGTCCCGATAGCAAAACTGACTGGCAACCAGTGCAGTCAGGTCAGACTTGGTGTTATATGCTCCAGAGAGCAGCCTTGCCACTGAATTTTGCACCAGCTGAAGTTTCCAAACCATTTGCAGAGGCAGCCCCATTGTATGCTAGGAATTTTTGGCACCATCAGAGATGCTTTATTACACTGCTTCCTCCAGAATTCTCTTTGGGGAGCATTTGGCTCTTTCCTGAATAGCCTCACCCCTTTCCTGCCCCTCTGAGACCAGCCCACGCCACCACCATAGCAAAGAGGGCACAGATTCATAGAATCATAGTACTGGAAAGTACTCCAGGAGTCTCTAATCCAAGCCCCTGCAATGCAGGAATCACAGAGAAAAAATCCCTGACAGAGTCCACCACCTTCCAGGCGAGTTTGTTCCACTGTTGACCAGCTCTTACTCTCAGAAAGTTCTTCCTAATGTTTCATCAGAATCTTCTTTCTGGTAACTTTGTTTGGATCCTACCCTCTGGAGCCGGCAAAAACATCCTTCCATGTGCCAGCACAAGGTGACCAGAGTCTGCTGTTTCTTTTGCTTCCAAGGATAACAACATGGTGCCATGCAAATGTTGGTGGACGCCAACTCCCATTAGATCCATCCAGCATGTCAGGGGCGATGGGAGATGCAAGCCAAGAACTTCCAGAGGGTGGGATTCTTCTGATGGCTTCTGTTACCACTCATTCCACTTGCAGAATGCAGGCCTGGTGGTTTACTACACTCTGCAAGCCACAAAGCAACAGGCTGAGAACCCAGTTTCACAACAGTGCTGAAGATCCCAACCAGCTTCACTAAATCTTTTTTACCATGAGAAATTACAGTTTAAGGATCTCCTCTCTTTTTTTCCATGTTTGCAGCTAAAAATCTATAAATGGGTAAGTAGACGGACCTGATACAAAGCAGCTTTCTATGTTTCTAGAGATGTTTCCCATACACAATATCTGAGGCTCCATCTGTGGCATCCCCAGTTATTTCTAACAGCAGGGCTAGGAGAGACCCCCAGCTATGACCCCCCTGGAAGCCCTAGTCAGAACTCTTAAGTACTGAGCTGGATGGGTCAAGGGCCATATATCCTTTTTGGATATGGCATTGCATATCAAGGTTGGAGGCAGTAATGCTTCCGAATATCGGTTGCTGGAAACCACAGGAGGGGAGAGGGCTCTTGTACTCAGCCCAGTATACCCGAAGGAGCGTCTCCACCCCCATCGTTCAGCCCGGACACTGAGGTCCAGCGCTGAGGGCCTTCTGGCGGTCCCCTCGTTGCGAGAAGTGAGGCTACAGGGAACCATACAGAGGGCCTTCTCGGTAGTGGCACCCGCCCTGTGGAACGCCCTCCCTTCAGATGTCAGATGTCAAAGAGATAAACAACTATCTGACATTTAGAAGACATCTGAAGGCAGCCCTGTTCAGGGAAGTTTTTAATGTGTGACACTTTATTGTATTTTTAATCTTTGTTGGAAGCTGCCCAGAGTGGCTGGGGAAACCCAGCCAGATGGGCAGGGTACAAATAATAAATTATTATTATTATTATTATTATTATTATTATTATTATTACTCAGGTCCTGCTTGTGGGCTTCCCATTGGGGTATCTGGTTCACCACTGTGAAAACAGGGTGCTAGGCAGTATTTGCTTGATCCTGCAGGGTGCTCTCATGATATATATAACTTCCTAAACACATAAAAATGTATGTTGGCACTATGAAGGAGGAGATAGAGGCACGATAGAGGAGGAGGAGGAGGAGGAAGCAGAAGCAGACAACAACATTAAATACAATTTAAAAAGAGGAAAGCTGGATTTCCTAAATGCAGATTTCTCATTTAGCCTTTCTGTGCCTTCAGCAAATTCTCTGTGCATTCCGAAGACTGGAAGTCTGGGCTTCATTGCCCTGTTTTGGTTTCTTGTCTTTCCACTGTAAGATTAAAGCTCATTTTTATTAAGGCATTTCGTGCAGGCACCTCTCAGCCTTGATTTACAGTTGCACCACATGACACTGTACTACAAGGACACATACTTAAATATGTTTATTTGAAGGTGACCACCATATGCAACCTAAAGTTTTATTAAAAAGAATAGGTTGCATTTTTCTAGCCCCAGCAACTTTGGCAGGATGTCAGTGAACATTTGTAAACACGACAAGGTAATAACGGCATCTCACAAGAGAGCTGGACACTTCCTTAGGGAAATCCATCATTCCTGTCTACAAATATAGTATCCCCAGGACTACGTAGATGCAAGTTCAAGGCATAATATTTATTGACCCCATCAGCTGCATGTAATTCTAGCATTAGTGCAAATAACCCGGTGGCCTTTTTTCCGCACAACAGAAAGAAAGAAAGAAAGAAAGAAAGAAAGAAAGAAAGAAAGAAAACATGGTAACATGCTACCTCATATTACAGTGTAGCAAAAGCAGATTTGGATACACTTGGAAATGTGATTAGACTCCTTGACCTGTAATTTCTGCCTGATCATTATTCTAAAGGCTCAGAGCAATCGGTGCTTCTTCTTGTTGCTTTGGGTCTGCAAATTTATTTAATTTGTGCCCCACCTTTTGGATCACAGAAAGGACCACCACCAGGCAGCTTGCAACTGTGGCGTGGCGAGGACCGGTATTCTACAGTGTGGTGCCAGAAACCTTGTGGTGCCCATTTGCCTTGCCCCAAAGCCCTGATCGTGTGATGACTCCTCATATATTGAATGCATGGAAGGAGACGTAGGATTGTGTCCACGAGCCTCACTTTACCTCCATGCATGAAGCAAACCTGCTGAACAGTGCCCATGAACGTACCAGGTGCACATAGCATAAACCCTCTCACTGTGATCTGCACCCTCGTATCTGCAGCTTTATGTTTTATCCTATTGTTGTTCTTTGAAAACATTCTCATTCATACTTAGAACATATCGGGGGAGCCATAGCTCAGTGACAGAGCATCTGTCTTGCATGCAGAAGGTCCCAGGTTCCATCCTCAGCATTACCAGGCAGGGCTGCAAGAGAACCCTGTCTGATACCTTGGAGAGCTGCTGCCAGCCAGTATAGACACTACTGAGGTCTCACTCAATATAAGGCAGCTTCTGATGTTTGTATTATTATTATTGGTAGTAGTAGTAGTGGAACTAGAAGAAAGAGGAGTGGTAGTATAAGAATCAAGGGCTACTTCATTCATCTGTTTCAGCGTGATTTTCTTTTACTGTTGTTTATTGCTTCTACCAAATGTATAATTTTGCAAAGAGTAATCCGTATGTATATCACATCAATAAAGTAACTGAGGAAACATTAAGATGTGTATGGATGGAAACTTTTGCAGATGTATTGCAGTTAAGTCCCACTTAAAAAAAACACAACAACTTTATTTGCAATAAAGTCTCTAAAAATATTTAAAATCATATTTAAAGCGTTCTCATAAAATGTGTATAAAGGAAAGACAAGTTTAATTCTCAAAGGCTCCATTATCAGAGCAAAAATTAATATTTGTACTGTTTCCAAATTGGAATAAAATTGCAAAGATGCAAACGCCATCCTATATCATAATCTATAAACCAGTCACAAATGTTAAATCAGCTGTAAAAATGATTTAAAATCTACATGAATAATTTTATTAAACTGATTTAAAACCACATTTTTGCTACCTTCATTTATTAACAGTTTTTCAGACAACAATGCATTTAAAAAGAAATTTGCATGAATAGAGCTACATATTAAAATGTAGCAGATCTTGTGGATGAAGGTGCTTACTTCCAAATCCCAAATGCTGGGAGAAAGTGGTTGACTTGAGGACCCAAACACTTCTAACAGGGGAGGGGGCCTATGACCCAAGTCCATTAGAGTTTTATAAAATTATGAATAGGGTGGAAACAATAGAAATGTTCTTCCTCTCCCTCCTTCCCCCTCTCTCTTTCATAATGTTAAAACAAGGGGACAGGGGCTTAGCAATGGGTTCAGGACAAAAAAGAGGTACTCCTCCACAAACACAGGGAATTCTTTGCCACAAATTTGAGGATGGCAACAGGACTCAGGTCTGCACTTCAGAGGGCTCATACTAGGGTTGCCATATTTTGAAGAGCAAAAAAAGAGAACACATTTGATGACTTCTACTTTTAACGCGGTCGGCACTGTGGTCTAAACCACTGAGCGACTGGACTTAATGGTCAGGGGTCCCTTTACCTTTTACTTTTAACTATGGATCATTAGGACGATTCTACCCATGAAACAAGGGACGTTTCCTGGAAAAAGAGGACACATGGCAACTCACCCCAAATAAGATATTGTTACATGCCACCCTGATTTCCAGGTGGTGAGAGAATCCAGGGGTTTCCTGTGTTTACCCAGGATTTGGTTTCCCTGGACTGAAGGCCAGCGGAGACTGTGTCATATTTTGGATACATGGTTTTATTTATACTCATATACAATCTGAGCAAAGGTGAAAGGGTGCACAGCATTAGCACTCCAACGGATCTGGCTTCTCCCCATTAGTCACAGCCTTGGATCCAGCACACAGCAAGCATGTCTCTCTTTATCCAGCTTCCAGCCTGCTTCCAGCCCAGCTCTCACACAACTCTCTGGCTATTGTTCTCCTACGTAGCAACTAGGTGAGGGGTGGAAGAAAGGCCCACCCATTAGCCTGGAGGGCACCATCACTTGGTTGTAGCTCTTGCAACCTAGCTCATTCTTTTGGGATGCTGATGAGGACACTTACGTGGTCAGCTAAGGCCACTGCCATGCAAAGAAACCTGTCCAGATACAACAATACATTAGAAAAATACAAGTGCCTGATAATATGCTAACATGGTTCCAAATACAGTGGTACCTCGGGATGCGAATGGGATCCATTCTGGAGCCCCGTTCACATCCTGAATGGAACGCAAGACACGACGGTGCGTCTGTGCATGCGCGGGTCACGTTTCGCTGCTTCCGCGCATGCACGTGATGTCATTTTGAGTGTCTGCGCATGCACAAGTGGCGAAACCCGGAAGTAAAGCGCTACGTTACTTTCGGGTTTCCGCGGAGCGCAACTCGAATGTGCTCAACCCGAAGCACATTCAACTCGAGGTATGACTGTAAACCTCAGTTTCTTTCTTCTTTTTAATGTTTTTTTTATTAAAGATTTTCTTGGTTTACAAAAGTATGTGCAATGTCTCTCTTTTTTTCAAGCAACATTTTTTACAGATCAGTTTCATTTGTTGAGACATTAGGGAGAAAAGGGGGAAAGAGGTGGAGGGGGAAAGATGAGTGGGGGTGGGGTCGGGTGGCGATGTTTCTATTTTACTTAATATATGTGGGGTTTTGTGTCAGTGTCGCTTGTGCAGGTCCTCTGCTATTCACTTGTGTTCCTTTGGTGGTGACAGAGGTTGGGGTTGGCCTAGGGTGTGGTTGTTTGTTGTGCACTACAATTACTCTTTATCCACGTGCATTTATTTGCACAAGACTGATCCAAACCTTCCAGAGAATCGGGGGAGGGAGCTGAAGAGCTCACAGTTCATGAGAAGGTTTTCCCCAACCCCACAAAAATGGCAAAAGGGGACAAAACAGGAGCAAACTGGTGGCAATATGTTTGGGTCAAGTAACAAAATAAATAAATAAAAGGACTGTCCCTCGTAAATACGGATAGTTGATATGTAGAAAACAAGCAGCGCTTGTTGAGGCTTGTATGTTGGTGGTGGGCTGTGTTTGACTTGGCTGGATACAAATTGTATAGGGTTGCTCTGAATTGATACAAATTGTACAGGGTTGCTCTGGATGGAGAAAATGGATGAAGAATGTGGAAGAGGCTGATTTGATGCTGAGCTCTTCACCATGTCAACGAGTTTTGATTGCAGATAACCCATGTAAACAAAACATGGCAGGAGCTTTTAAATCTCTATTATGCACATTAAGCATCTGGGTGTTCTTAAATTAGAAAATAATACTTTGCTTTATTTTCAGCTTCAAACTCCAGATGAAGCAGCTACCATGGAGATGACAAAAGCACCAGCATGGTTTATTCAGATTAATACCCACATCGTCTTTGTGTGTTGTGTGCGTGTCCTGTGTGTGCAGCGCGCCTGAGACAAAAACAGATACTGCTCCTCCAAGACTCTGACCTTTAGCATCATTTCCCCCAAAAGTTAATTTCTGTGATTAATGCAATATACTAAAACCCATAAATTTGATCATCTGAAGGATTCAAATTAGGAATTATTGACAGCTGATAGAACAGAAGTGCAGACAGGAGGCAGATTTCCTCATCTGTCCATCTCAGTGTTGGAATATGTATTGATTAGGGTATGACAAGGTAGGGAACCTGCCATAAATCTAAACTCTATTAGATTAACACAGGCATTCAATTAACATAAAAATGACAACCTAAGAGAAAAGCTCTGAATGTCAGTCTGCTCACCGTTTCAAATGTTCGACCCAACCCAGGTTTGGAATTAGCAAATGATGGTCTTAGCATAGAAAAGCAGGAGGCAAAAACGGATTTCAGTGTGGACTCCTGCATTTCTATTTTAGAGACAAAACACCCAAGGCCTTTTCCTGCACACCTCACCCTCTCAAGGGGAGTCCACAGTCATGCCCCCAATGAGATCCCATAACCATAGGCCGCTATGTCAACCTGTCAGTTTACACATTTGCACACACAGTCAATACATAGTGTAAAATTTCATTTGTTAGGATCAGCACGACCGCACAATCTTATGCCTAGTTTATGGGAGTAAGCTCCATTGAGCTCTATGGTGCTACCTTCTGACTGCAGAGGTTTGGCTTGTAAAACACATTAAGCTTTGGATCTCTAGTATGTAATCTCTGAGCAATCCTGCAAAGTGTTACCATTCAAACGGCTAGTATGAAGTAGAAACCCTATCAAAGGAAAGGGGACACGTATCCAGCCTCTGCTCATTCTCTGACTTATCCCATGCTAATGCATCAGAAAAAAACAGTCTTGAAGGCCTCATTATCACTTATTCCCCCCCCCCCATTTATATCCCACCTTTCTTCCACCATGAAACCCAGGTGGTATGCCTGAGGTTCCTGGGTGGTACTCACTCATCTAGGTACTGATCAGACCTGCATGACTTCAACAAGTTAGTGGTCTCCTGTGCCTTCAGTTCATACCTAAGTGAGTGCTGATCCTTTGCTACTTGATGTACCTTTAGGACCATTTATCTGCTGATGAAGAGTTACTATCAAAACAGTTCGTCATCTGGAAAAACTGTTCTGTGTTTGGAGCATCCATTACTGCATGGTTACAGGACTGTGACTGTTGAAAGGCTTGTTTGCCTCTTTGACATCAATGGACTACATTTTCTAATTTTGTTCATGCAACATTGATTGACTTTTATTATTTGTGACTCCATCACATATTTTCTGTTTAAGAATTGTGAAATAATACATGTTGCAAATATTTTGTTAGAACATTATTAGCCACGTGTTGCCTGTGTTTGTTCAGATCATACCCAGCAGGCTCTTTTTATATTCTTCATAGGGTCATAGGACCATAGGAAGCTGCCTTCAAATGAGTCAGACCATTGATCCATCTAGATCAGTATTGTCAATACTGGCTGGCAGCTGCTCTCTAGGATTATGGCCAAGAGTCTCTCCCTGTCCCACCTGAAAACACAATGAATTGAACCCGGGATCTTTTTCATGCAAAGACATGTTCTACCACTGAGCTATGACCCTTCCTCATCAAGTTCTTTGCTTTTCAAAATATAGAATTAGGACCACAAGTGTGGAAGGAGAGCCCTTCCCGTCTTTGTGAACTGGCAAAGCATGGGCCCTTCACCATCCGAAGAAAGTTTTACTAATAAATAAATAAATAATCCAGTTACAGAGATATTGCAGATGGTGAGGCTCATTATACCTAGAGTGAACCTGAAACAAGTCACATTAATTAGGAGCAGGAAGGTTCAAAGCAAAAGGGCAACAAAGGTGTTTTTTAATAATGGCACTAGTGTTGCTACTCCTGTCTCAAATACGGTGCCACTTCACAGCATCAGATGGCAGGTGAGAGACTCTTTGGATCTCCATAAGCAAAGAGGAATAAAAATCAATTTCAGAGCTCTAAAGTGGTAGATTCTGGTTCCTAGGGTCATTGCACATCATCAGCTGCTCTACAGCACTAGAGCGCTTCTGAGTGGCTGATTAAAAAAAATGAAATGAATACGGAGGATGTACTGCACCACTGTCTCAGAGGTTTAAAGGGACAATGTGAAATAATTCATTCCAAAACAAACAGTAGGTTGGATAGTTCTTTTGCAAGGACAGTATGATACTGGCAACAAGAATGAGTTCACATGGGACAATTTTAAACACTGCTCTGTACTCCAGTCAGTTTTCAGTTAGAAGAAAACAACCTGTAAGTTCTTTTCAGATGTTCTTTGGATGCTTAGAGAAAGGACAGCAAATTCACAGGTGCTATCACTGTGCCGCAATCTACATGCATTCAGCTGGGCATACAACTGTATGCATGGCAGGCTCTCTCTTAACATTAGAACATATGAATGTAAGAATATCCTGTGCTGGATCAGACCAAAGGGGGTGTATCTAGTCGAGCATCCTCTGCTCACAGCGGCCAACCAGATGACTACAACAAACCTGAAAGCAGGACCCGAACACAAGACCACTCTCTCCTCCTGCATTTTCCAGCAACTGGTATTCAGAAGCATTGCTGGCTCCCTCCTGAAGTTATGACCCTCACCACCAGCCCTGCTCCTTGGCTGGGATATGTCCTTGAACTGTAGTAACACCTCTCTTGCTTCTCTGGGGGTAGCCCTCCGGGTTTTGCAGGGCTCAAATGCAGTTTACTGTGCAAAGGTGACAGTCACATCCTTTGGGCCACCAACTATTGCCTCTGGCCACATTCTCCATTGTCATGTAACAATGAAGTCTCCCCACAATGTGTAATCAGGCTAAGGAAAGTTCCTGACTCCTGATCTACACTCACCAGCAGAAGCTCTCCAAGGTTCAGAATGCCAGAGTCTGAACCTGTGATATTATTATTATTATTATTATTATTATTATTATTATTATTTCTTCCAGTGAGCTCAAGGTGGTGTAGAAAGTCCTACAACAACATGTGAGGTAGGTCAGCCTGAGAATGAGATACTGGCCCAAGGTCATCTGGTGAGCTTCATGGTCAAGTGGAGACTAGAACCCAGGTCTCCCTGGTCCTAGTCCAACACTCTAGCCACTACACTCTAACCGTGCCATTCTGTGTATGAAGCAGGGACTACCCCACTGAGCTACTCTTACACCTGTCCACTAAAATGGCAAAGTTGCATTCCTGAATGCAGAAATGAAGGATTTCAGAAAATTGCAAAAAATATTTTAAACCTTCCAGCAAAGAACAAGCCATAAAATAGCAGAGTCTTCAATCACATAGGTCTGCCAAAAACAAATGATGCATTGAAATTTGCACCAGAGAAAAAGCGATCAAGGAGATTGCATGTCTGCTTATTTCAAAATAAGTTGCAAACCAAGACAGACCCTCGCAGCGCCACACTCTGAGATCAGCAGAATACCAGCGGTAGGTTCCAGGTATGGACTGATCTCACACGAAGGGGCTTACGAGCAGACAAAGATTGCTTTTGGGGAATCAGGCAGGAAGCGAGTGAGGAAGAGCAGCTGGGAAGGAGGAAAAGATAGCCTTGAAGAAAAAGACGACATCAACTGCACTGAAGTTATTTTGGCATAATGGCAGAGTAAATGAGCACCATCTGGTCAAAAGTGAGAAAGGAAGAACAGATGACTGGAAGCAGAGGAGAATAGAAGCAGAAGGAAACTGGGGCAGGGATTAATTTGTGAAGCCGAGTGTTCTGAGGCACTTAGCTTTCATGAAGCCCCTGCCCCTGTGCTCCAACATGCCAAAAATACAAAGACTGACCCTGGGCTACTAAACTTCCAGTCGGGCTGATTCCTTCCTCCTTTTCCTTTCCTCTGTGCCCTGCTCCTCTTGGGGAGAAGGAGCCTATTCAATTCCACAGCAGGCCACAATCAATTGCAGGCTGCTGCTTAAAGACAACTGCTAGGCTAAGGGCAGGCCTCCTATAGCAAATGGGTGTGTGGGTGTGTGTACCTGATTGGCTGTATGGTGCCACACAGCACAGGTAAATATATTTTACTTTGCAAAGTGCACCAACATCATTAGCTCTTAGGACACAAAGTCTGCATTTTTTGGCTCCCAATTCATGTAAATTGCCCCCCAAGAAACCATTAACAGATCTGAGGGGGTGTTACTTTATCCACCCAAATGGGTCCAGAGATGCTCATCAAATAATGCAGAGATTAATTAATTCAACCCAAAATCCCATCAGTCTCTAAGAAACTTACTTCCAGGTTACTATGAGCAGCAGATCATGGAATTAGTACACCACAAGAGATGGAATAAAAATTTAAAATACTGCCTTTGTATCTCCCCCTCAAGTGGTTTGCAAGAGCCTCTTTCACACAATCTTTCAATGTGTGGTGAAGATTAATCAAACTTTGGTTTGCACTAGGAATATGTCAGAAGAGCTGATCTCTTACTTGCTTCTTAACTCTCACCATTATGCACTTCTGTTCTTCAGCAATAATAGCAGACAAGAGAAGAAATAGATGTGCATTTGTTCCCAGCATTATGTCACACTTCAGTGTGACCAAGGAACAGAATCCGAGCATGGTAGGTAAAAGGATAGATGATAGATAGATAGATGGATAGGTAGGTAGGTAGATGATAGATAAATAGACAGGTGTTAAATATGCTTTCTGCTGTGTTCACTGTTACATTTATTAAGTTTTAGATTTTAGGGATTTGTTTTATGGAACTATGCTTTCCAAACCGCACCAGGATCTTGATGAACAAAGGGTGAGTTAGAAATTAGTTTATTAGTAGTAAAACACTAGTTCTTATATGAAATAGATATAGATAGGACTAGGCTGATACTCAGTGGCTGGGATGACAAACAACAAAGCATAGATTTAGCTCCTCTGACCATGGACTCAAGGAGGCAGAATCAGCATCCAGTCCCATGGGGAAGAAAGTACAGAATTACTATTTGGGATACTGGTACAGTGAAAGCAAATTGTACTGTTTGTACTATACTGGGTAGGGTTGCCCTTGCTGAGATGACCCTCTCAGTGGGGCATGATGGGAGTCTATGCAGAGAGCATTCAGAAACACATTGTTCTCCTAGTTGCCTTTGTAGTTCACAACCCCAAGAAAGAAAGGATGCTGTCTTACAAAAGTACATAAGAAGAGCCATGCTGGACCAGGCCAATGGCCCACCTAGTCCAGCATCCTGTTTTCACAGGGACCAACCTGATACCATTATGAGAAGCCCACAAGCAGACCTGAGCACATGAGCACTCTCCCCTCCTGCCATTTCCATCAACTGACATTCAGAAGCATTACTGCCTCCAACCACGAAGACAGAGAACAGCCATCATGGCTAGTAGACTCAGACCAAGTGAGACTATTTCTCCATCCAGAACAGTATCCTCTCTTCTCTGACTGACACCAACTCTCCAGGGTCTCAGGCCTTTTCCACCACCTCCTTTTAACTGGGCATGGCAGGGATTGAACCTGTGACCTTCTGCATGCCAGGCATGTGCTCTGCCACTGAGCTGTGGCCCTGCCTCTTGTTCCTCGCCCACTCTGACTAACATAACAATGGGCATTTTTTTCCTGCTTAGAAATATAAAAGCGGGAGGCAGGAGGTAGGGTCTAGCAGTCAGGAGATACTTGTGGGCATCTCTTCGCAGTGTTGACATATGTTGTGAGAATGATACGCCAGGTGTGATGTAGATATCTTCATTTCACCAGACAAGGCCCTTCTTGTGAAATATAAAAGCTAAGCTCTTTCACACAGAAATCGTGAGAAGAGATACGATAAAGGAACAAAACAGAAGGCCCGATAAAGATAAAAGGATGTGCAAAGGCACACAGTGCACTTTATTCTAGTCACTAAATTATCACCTTACAAATGATTTTCACATCATTACATAGAGATCAAATGTTCCCGCTCACATTTTTAGGCATGCAATAGGCAAAGCTCAGAAGTTTTGGTGGAACTTTTTTGCAAGGCAAGTTCCCTAGTACAATAATGCACTGTCACTTGTCATTTCACTGATTTGTGTGTTTTTACTCTTTGTACATTGCTTAGCTGAATAACCACACTGCAAAATTCAGAAAAGTGTGAATTTTGAAGGATGCCTGTGTTTCAGTTTATGTATTGTTTTTGAAAGTGGGACATGGGTTTGCATTTAATGTGAACTGAATCACAATTCTCACTCATCTCTATTTCAGTCACAGTACATTGGCGCCCTGTATTAAATCGTTCCTCCCCTACAAATGTCTTTTGTGATACCTTTGCTCCACCTTTCCAAAATCCTAATTTTTGTGGAATTATTCCCTGTAGATTATGATAAACTTTTGTGATGAAAAGTTATTGATTATATAATTTAGTTGGACTGAATTCTGCATTCTGACAAACAATAATAATGAAGAGACAAGCCCATCTTACATTCACAATGGAAGAAGTTCCATGAGATCAATGGGGCTTACATCCAAAGAACTGTGAAAGGATCCCAGTTTAAGGATTGTGTACACAAAAGTTTGCTTTTCTTATTAGTGAAAAACATACAGAGAAATAAAGAGAAAATTGTATTTCAACATGAACCTCCAGGATTCAATTTATTCCTTCTCCGTCTTCTAGAAAAACAATTATTCCCTCCTCCCTGTGAAAATGCTATTGAACCTTCAGCCAGTTTTAAGCTATTTTCACCAAAATCTGCCTCTTCTGCTTGTTTTCAAGTTGTGAGCTCCCCCGTGTGGTTATATAAGGATTTCCAGCCGTTACAGAAAACGATTTAAAGAGTTTTCTATTACATTATTTCAAGGAAACACCCACTCTAAACCTCAACACCCAAAAAGGGAAAAACAAAAGAAAGAAGACACAGGTATAAATAAAGCTGCCATTGCTTTGAGACAGCTCAAGCATTTCTCACAGGCACAATGGGTATCCCATGGATGCAATGGTTGCGTGAACCTGGTGTCAACAGGGCCATTTTTCTAACCTGACGTGTTAACATACATGATAAGAGGATTTGTGTTGAATGTCCACATGGTGCTGCAGCACTTCTGTGCAATCTCTGCTAGTCATCTGCGAAGTCCTACAGGCCTGACTTGCAGGGCCTGCTGACAGTCCGAACCAGAAGCACTGTGCCTCTTTAAGAACGACCAAATCAACAAGTGACCACTTTCCATCTCCATTGTAGGAAAAACTTTGCTTCAAGTGCAATCCTATACACATCTATTTGGAGATAAGTTCTACTGAGCTCAGCCAAGACTACTTCCTGGGATGTTAGTAGAGAATTGCAGTTTTGATTATTTTTGTCTTTTAGGCACATGCTAAAGGTTTAGATTTGAGCTCCACTTTTTTCACTTTGTTTATAGCAGACACGTCCAACTCCCAAGAGACTGTGATCTACTGGCCGTGATCTACCCATTGACATTGGAGGGAAGAGGAGTGTGCATGGGCTGGGGGTGTGGAAGGGGAGGATTGCCCAGAGTTCCTGAAAGTTGTTGAACTTGTTTTAGGGGAGGGGAGACCAAATTTGTGGGGGAAAGGCTAACAAATAACTACGATGCTAACAAGCACACAAAATAATACAGCAAACTATAAAATACCGCCCTTTTGATGCATCGTTGGGACAGAGCGAGGGGGGCAGAAACATTCCTTATACATTGCTTTTAATCCCGTGATTGATAAGGATCCCGCAATCAACCGTGATCACTGAGGGATCTACCTGTCGATCACGGTCGACCACTTGGACATTGTTGGTTTATAGCATCCAAAGGGGAAGTACGGTAATACTGAGTAGTAGATTCAGACAAATTGTCCTATTTCCAGGTTGTGCTGCTTTCTTAAAAACCACACATTAATGTACATAATGAATACAGGTTTTTCAATGTGTGTTTCTGAATATATTTCCTCACAAAGTATCAATTTCTAATAATATTTTCTCTTAAAATAAACATTCCTCAAGCTAGGAAGGAGCAGGTCAGTTGGTAACTGAGGAAACAAGGGAGGTGTTGCTCCAGGATCTGATTTGCCTGCTTAGTTTGTCTGCAAAGTTGCTGTTCACCAAGCGTCAATAATAGGGATATGTCCAAACTATATGTCCAATATTGAGCTAGGACTTCTCTACCATGCATGGAAATTACAGGTATAAACACAATCTCTCTCTCTCTCTCTCTCTCTCTCTCTCTCTCTCTCTCTCACACACACACACACACGTACAAGCAAAGAGCACTCCCATGTGAGAATGGCAGAACCACACCTGAATCATCAGCACAGCCCCATGCAGAATTGGCCCAAGGCATTTTGCTACCTGAAGCAAAGGGCAGGAAGTTGCCTTTTCCCAGTTCCATTGTATGAACAAATGCTCAACAGACCACTGAATCTCATTCCAGCAACCTCCATTGCACCCCATTGCACTCCCAGGGCAGAGGCAGGGCGGTCTTTACCTGGGGGGTGCAAGGGGTGAGTGCCACCCGGGCTCCAAATTCTTGATCAGCAGCAGTGAAAAGCAATGGAGTGAAAGTCCCTGCCCCGCCCCCGCCCCCACCATCGCTCTGTTACTCCGTAGCATCAAATGAGTCAGGAAACAAAAGCAGTTTTTTCTGCTGCGTCATTGCTACAGGTGAACAATTCCCCCCAAAAAAACTTTGTTCACCCCCCCTAAAAAGGTCAACAACTTTGGCTTCCCCCCTCCCCAAAAAAGGTCATTAAAGGTTCATTTGGGGCAGCTAAACTAAATTTAGGAGCACTGGGCGGATCTTTGCACCCCGGCGGCGCATATGATAAATATGGCCCTGGGCAGCGGCGTAGTTTGGTGGGTGCAGGGCAAGTTGCCTAGCACACATGCAGAGCTCTCTCCACTCATTATCTCTCAATATTTGCTGTCTGAGGCATCTGCCTCATGATAGCACCAGCCCTGACCACAAGACATGTCTAAACTGGCACAGGTGCCCTGCTCTCCACAAATCTACTGTGTCTTGTGGTGGTATTTGCCACTGAACATTAATTACTGACAAATGCATTTATGCTGCTGTGGGAGCTCATGCTTTGGAGCTACCTACCAGCAAATCAGTCATTCAGGTCTTCTTAGTCCGTCTTGGCTGACTTTCACTTCATTAGGATCAAGATGAGAACCATTTCTGACAAGGGCTCTCACTAATTGTTTAAAGGTGAATCCTTCCAAGAAGATTTTGCACCAGCACTTGGCGAAAAGGGCTTCTGTGTTTCCTTAAAGGTGTGGAAGAGGTTGGCAACCAACTGCTTGAGCTCGGAATACAACCCTTTGGATAAATCCTTTCATCTCTGTAGTGCATCAGTTTTTCCTAGACTTGACCTTTTAATTTAATCATGATGCAATCTGTCATATGGCCATAACAATAGGGGGATAAATAAAAGGAAACAGCAACATTTTCCCATGGGGAGCAAGCATAGTGGAGGATCTGGTCTATATGTTCAATACAGCAACCTAAGATCAGCCTTGATGGACAAAACAAGTCCATCACAAAACAAGTTCACCTCGCCTAGGTGTCTCCAGGAGGGACCTGTCCTTGCACTAAGGAAATATGTGTGGTTAATATAAGAACAGTGCCATTCTAATTTGACCTTCTGGAAGTCTAAGAGCCAGGCCTTTTGTGGTTTTCACCAAAGGGATGCTGATCCCTGTGGCATCTCTCAGCTGTAGCATTTAATAGTACAGTGGTACCTCGGGTTACATACGCTTCAGGTTACATACACTTCAGGTTACAGACTCCGCTAATCCAGAAATAGTACCTCTGGTTAAGAACTTTGCTTCAGGATGAGAACAGAAATCATGCTCCAGCGGCGCGGCAGCAGCGGGAGGCCCCATTAGCTAAAGTGGTGCTTCAGGTTAGGAACAGTTTCAGGTTAAGAACGGACCTCCAGAATGAATTAAGTTCTTAACCAGAGGTACCACTGTACTTTCAGAATGATTCAGGGGCACTGGCACAGAATTTCCTCACTACCAATGGCATAGAGCAGCCTTGCCCAACCAAATGTTTGGGACCACAACTCCCAGCATCCTTGATAACTGCCCAGGGCTGAGTGGGCTTGCAGTCCAAAGCTCCTGGAGAGCACCAGATTGGGGAAGGCTTGCCAAGAGCAATAGTAGCAAAGCACAAAGTCACATGTTGTTGTTGCTGTTGGCATCCATCTGTCTCAAGAGACAATGGAGTGTGCCTCTGGGGGTGAAATTAAACTGCTGCAGTGTGTATGGCAGTTCTGGGCTGCCCAGACCACAGGACCTCCCCCCCTCACACACCTTCAGCCTTGCTGATGTGATCCAAAGAAACCAGAGCAATACATCTGGGTGCCTACTTGGCTGCAGGAGTTGCTGGAAGGCGCCGTACAAGACACCTTCCAATGGTTTTAGAGACTTCACTCTGGATTTGCATAGGGTTTACTCCTTAGTCCTTTCTTTTCTGGAAAAATATTCTGCAAGGCAGTGGAGTTTTAGGGTCAGGGTTTTCTTTCTCCTACATGGACTACCTTCCCAGGTTGACGAGCCCCATCTGCCTCTCACTTCCCTCTATAGCATATGCAGAAGCTGCCCACTTGACCATTCAAGCCACTTTTAGTTTCATTCGCTCAATCCACACCAGAACCTGTTTTTGCATGCAGGTGATGTCCCTAACTCACCAAGGGTTTGAGAGCCATTGGCTACCCTCACCTGGTTTAGCCAGACAGTCAAAGCTGTCCTCAGGGTGCGACCACTGTCACATGCTGACAGCTTCTAGGAGCCACAGGTAACAGCTGAGTGCAGGGTGGGGACTAAAGGTGGACAAACAGCCGCAGAAGAAGGTACATCCCACCCACCCCAGTCACATGTTGAGTGTGCTAAAAAGCACACAGAGGGCTGGCCAATTCACCATGAGGATCCTGGTTCCGTAGACATGAGGCTAGGGAGACATCACACAAATCTGTGCCTGACAGAACTCATAGCAAAATGGCCAGGCTACTCAATTTTCTTTTTTTCTTTTTTTGCTCACTGTGATTGTGAGCACTGGCAGGTGCAGGTAGACTGTGCATCTTCCTTAGGCTTGTTTCCTAGGAACTCCCATGCTGGTCACGGGTCACCCTGCTAGGGTACACAATTGCTATGAGGCATGGCACGAGGCGTAACAAAAGGGGGACTGCATGATCTAAATATATCTGTATTATCTATCATCTGTCTGTCTATCTGTCTGTATCATCTATCATCTATCTATCATCTATCATCTATCTATCATCTATCTATCTATCATCTATCTATCATCTATCTATCTATCATCTATCTATCTATCATCTATCTACCTCCTACCTACCTATTTTTAATTTTTATATCCTACCTCGCCACCAGATGGTGCTCAACACAGCTAACAACAATACAAATATTGTAAAATATAATGAAATAATAACTAACTAACTAACTAACTAACTAAATAAATAAATAAATAAACAACAATTTAAGGGGTAAGTTTAAACATCCAGTTCAATCTTTATGGATCTTTTTTTTCACCCCTAACAGTACAATCTGCTAGATGCTCAATTTTAAGGTGAGGGAACACTTACTCATCTGAGATAACTTGTTATGCTAGGAGTGTGGTAGAGAATCTCTGACCCAATCCTCAGAGATTGGTGCGGCAGGCCATTTTTGGCAAGTCATGCCCACATTTCCTATGTCTGATGTGAAATATATGACATCAGGCACAAGCAAGTTCCAGTTGCCACGGCTCCAAGCTCTAAGTGTGCTCCGCATCCTTCCTTTGCAGCCCTAAATTGAAATTAGTTACCTGATGTCATATGATGTTAGGTAACTGACAGGTGAGTGGCCCAGACCACCTCTTGTGGCCCATAGAAGTCTGGCTGCTTCTGGATCCAGCCCTCCAGCCAGATCCAATTCCAGATCACAGTGCTAGGAGATGCTCAAGATTTGCGAAGGGGTGTATTGTGCACACATTTCTGACTATAAGATTATGGCCATTCTTTCTGACATTAAAAATCCCTATATACCGGTTACATCTGTAATCTCTTCAACACACCTCAGTAATCCTCACATCCCTGTAAGATAGGCAACTGGTACTAGGGATGGATCTACATTGACCAAAAAACAAAAAACCGCTAAGAAAAAGAAATGTTCTATAGCTCTCTATGCAATTTTCAATTGACTGCTGTACATCGCCCCCTGGTGTCACATTTTATAATGCACTTAACATTATAGATTAGTCATAGGTAAAGGTAAAAGGACCCCTGACCATTAGGTCCAGTTGTGGACGACTCTGGGGTTGCGGCGCTCATCTCGCTTTATTGGCTGAGGGAGCCGGCATACAGCTTCCGGGTCATGTGGCCAGCATGACTAAACCACTTCTGGCGAACCAGAGCAGTGCATGGAAACACCGTTTACCTTCCCGCCGGAGCGGTACCTATTTATCTACTTGTACTTTGACGTGCTTTCGAACTGCTAGGTTGGCAGGAGCAGGGACCGAGCAACAGGAGCTCACCCCGTTGTGGGGATTCAAACCGCCGACCTTCTGATTGGCAAGTTCTAGGCTCTATGATTTAACCCACAGCACCACCCGCGTCCCTAGATTAGTTATAGCAGTGCTTTTTTTCAATAAAAATAGATGCTGAAGCTCATCACTTGTTATTAAGTCACTGGGCAACTCAGGGCAGCCCTGAACAGATGCCAGTTTGACAACAGTATCGTTCTTTACCCGTGGAGGTGCTAAACACCACAGCAAGCTGTCTCCCTAGCCGGTTTGGGGGTCACCCGTGGTTCTGATGCAAGTCAAATAAACGGGCCCCCACCTCCCTCGTTCTCTTAGATTCAAGTGGGTGGCTAGGGCAGCTCGGAAGAGCTGTCATGCAAATGCACATGAGCGCAATGGTAGAGGCCTGGCTGGGAAGCTTAAAGCCTGCCTAGGGAGACAGATTGAAGAAAAAGGAGATATGAATTGGCCAATCGCTGCTAGGAATGACTAGGAGCTAGGTGGAGTCATAGATCTAAAAAAAAGTGTAGACTCTCACATGCTGTCCAGCTTCTGTTTTGACTTGAAATGTTCATTTGGGGCTTCTCAGAAGTATGTAAAGGCAAGAAGTGTGTGTGGGGGGGAGCGCTGATCCACAATGGCGCCTACCTAAGAGGTGCTGGAACTGCGCTCCAGCTGAAAAAAAAACTGATTACTAGTATCCCCATATTACAAAGGCAGAGGTGGAGGGGAAAGTGTTGACTTAATTACAACCCAGAGTTTGGGGGGGGGGGGCAGGGGCGGTAAAGAGATTTGAATCCAAGGAAGCCCAAATTAGTATGTATTGTCTTACCCACTATGCTGCAATCACTTTCCTAGGCACTGTATGTTAGTGCCTCTATTTCCCCAACTGTGTAGGCAGAACATCGCGATTGTGGCTAGTAGCCATAGAAAGCCCTAGTGCAAAGTTCTCACAAATTTCCCTAAGCTTAGTTCTCCTTGCATGTGCTGGAACCCCAAGAAGAGCCTCTCCCAGACTGCAGAATTGCACACTGCACATCCCACATGTGGCTGCAACCAGCCCTATTAATTGCCTTATTACAAAGACCACTTACACACAAAGCATTACCTTTAATCTCTGCCTGCCCTTCAGTGTTTACCATATTTTTCTCGTGAATTTTTCAGATATTTTTACTTTCCACTTTAGCACTTCATTATCTGTGCAATTTATGAGGTCTCTGTTTAGACTGGGGGGAAATGAAGAAATGCTAAAGTTTTGCTTTCTCGTTGCCAAAGAAAAAAAAGAGGTCATGTGTTGCCGACCAAGCAAAGCTTCCGAGGTTGCTGAATGCCTCCGACACTCTGGTCCACTGGGATCAAACTGTTCCACCACAGGATGTGCCATGTTTGGAGAAGAACCTCTTTGGAGCCTCTGTGAATAACCCTGCTTTTAAGCTTTCCGCTTTGAAAAAGGGAACACCCCTCGTGATTTAATACTCAATCTGTGAATTTTAATAACTGCTACCACTTATCGGCCCATCTATCATCTTATATCTTTTGCAGCTGTTGAAAGACAATGTTGGTGCCTTTAAAGCTTTCTCATCACAGATTCAAAAAGCCTAACACACACACACACACACACAAAATTGGCAAACAAAAAGAGCCATATGCCTACTTGACCTGGGATACATAAACCTGTTGTTCAATCCTGAGAGAGGGATTACAGCATTACTTTTTACTAAGTTGCTTTTCATATGGAAATTTCTTTTCACATCAGAGATCTGCATTTAATGGCATCAACATAAAAAAAAAATCCCAATTTTTAGCTCCCTGATCATGGACATATAGATTTTTATAGCGTCTGCAAGCATGCATTAATGTTAATTTCACAAGTCTCCTTTGTATTTTGTTAATGTCACAATCTGCTGTAAAACCTTGCCAAGTTTCTTAACTGTCATGTTAATTCCAAGACCTATTCTGCACTCTTTGACATTTCAGGACAGAACATGGCAGTAAAAATAGATTAAAAACAGCTTATAAGTATTATAAAATGGGGAACTTTGCAGATGGCGGAATTAGATCTGCTCAGTAGAAATTCAGCAACTCGGAGCACAATAATATTAAAAGAAAATGTGTATTCATTTGGAAGGTAAACATTTTTGCAACAATAGTGTACCGCTGTCTAAATGAGGAAGGGGAATTCCCTGTTTAAAGAAAAATAAGAAAGGTGTGTGTATGTGTGTGTGTATATATATGCATATATCACTGCTCTGAATGTGTACTCTATATCCATGTCAGTATTAGATTTCAAACGGTTTCTGTACTGTATAAATAAAGAGTATAATAAGAGCTAGATTTCATTGCTGGTTGGTTCAAAGTTCACACAAATTATTTCACACAAGGGATTTGTCTGAGGGGTTTTTTGTGTGTGCGTCAAAAGAAATGTATTAGATATTAAATGGCAATGTCACACATAAGAAATTTGCAAGAATGGGCAGGAAACAAGACACTCCCCCCCCCCCGTTGCAAAAGAATGCACCCTCTTTTTAATGCATGCGATCCATTTCAAAGGGAAACTTTTCTTTTGCTGATTTCAGGAAGTTTAAAATTGGCTAATCAGAAAGTTTTATGAAGTTTGGAGCGAAATAGGTTAGGATTCTTTTTTAGAAAACTGTCATAAAAAAGGAGGGGGGAAATCCCTTTCCCCTTTAAGGGGTGCTTATTATTTCCATCATCTTCCTCGAGTTGCTGATGAATAGCTCACATCGTTTGCCAAGCCCCACCCCTGCCTCCCCCCCACAAATCCTTCCCTCATTATTTGCTCAGTCTTTTTCCCACAGCCCAGAGAGCCCGTCAAAGACGGCTTAAAGAAAACACTGTGTTAGCGTTAGGAAATAGCATTCAGTTCCCAATTGATCTCCTAATACTTAATGTTGAAATGATAATTGGTGGAGTCTTCATTGAAAATAATATAAAAGGACGGGAGTGGAAATAAAAAACTCAACTTTTCTCCCCCGCCAGTCACCAAAAGGTATTATCTTTAGCCGTTGCATTCCGAGGAACCAGATACTTTTTATTTTATTTCATTTATTAAAAAAAAAAAAAGCCCTCCCCCCCATCTGCTGGAGATTGCAGCCCACAATTCTTTTCAACTGACATAATCCAGATTGATTCGTTCAGCAGATAAAATTCCGGCCACTTCTGCCCTTTATAGGAGCAACATAATACCACTCTTTATTCAGCAACAATGTAACATAATGGGATCGGAATGTGCAAAATGACCGTTCTTATATTACTGCGACATGCAAAGGCTCCAAAGCAAGCTGGGACCTTAATGTAAAAAATCATTATGCACAGATTACTGGAGTGGCCCTGCATTAAACAAGGTCAAACAGAGCATTTTTTCCCCCTGCTGCTGTTCTTATAAAGAGTAGGAAATGCATACAACTCTCCACCCCCCACCCCACCCCAACGGCCACAAAACACTCTTCACTAATATCTTGATTATAGTTGTGTTTCGGAAAGGGAGGGGGAGGGGGAGGCGACAAAAGAAAATGCAATTTGTTCATAAAAAGTCCGGCAGTTAAATACTTTCCCCTCCAGAAAGCCGTTAAATCTATTACACACAAAACCACATGCGTACACATGGAGATCTAAATTTCAAAGGTTGTCATGTAAATTGCCAGAGCTGAATTTTTTTGGTTCCCTGCCATACCAAATGAATTTTAAAAGACCTTCAAAGATGATAACTCACTACATCTTTTCCCTGTTTGATAGATCACAGACCGGGAGCTGTTAAAGTTAGCTGCTTCAGAGATACAATGGTTCGTGTGTATACCAATCTCATTGAACTGCGGCTCCCCGCGATAATTTCAATCTCTTAAGAGCACTGCTGGATCAGGCCACTGACCCATCTAGTCCAGCATCCTGCCCTCACAGTGGCCAACCAGATGCCTCAAAGTGAAGCCCTCGAGCAGGATTCGAGCACAAATGCACTCTTCCCCTCCTGTGGTTTCCAACAACTGGTATTCAGAAGCACTGCTGCCTCCAACTGTGGCAGTAGATGTGCTGTGCTTCTGAGAGTTCCAAGCGCCCCACTGGCATCACCCCGTTACAGTTCTTACAACTCTGCAAGGTAGATTAACATTGCAGACAGGGAGCTATAAGATTTGGTCTTGACTAGCACCATCTCAAGTGAGAGCTGGACCATAAAGAAGGCTGGTCGCCGAAGAATTGATGCTTTTGAATTATGGTGCTGGAGGAGACTCCTGAGAGTCCCATGGAATGCAAGAAGATCAAACCTCTTCATTCTTAAGGGACTTAGCCCTGAGCCCTTAGCACTGGAAGGACAGATCCTGAAGCTGAGGCTCCAATACTTTGGCCACCTCATGAGAAGAGAAGACTCCCTGGAAAAGACCCTGATGTTGGGAAAGATGGAGGGCACAAGCAGAAGGGGACGACAGAAGACAAGATGGCTGGATAGTGTTCTCGAAGCTACCAGCATGAGTTTGACCAAACTGCGGGAGGCAGTGGAAGACAGGAGTGCCTGGCGTGCTCTGGTCCATGGGGTCATGAAGAGTAGGACACAACTAAACGACTAAACAACAACAAACGCCATCACATGAGTACAGGGGAGATGTGAGATTCAACCTGAGGCAGTGGCACTAAGTTGCACCCAACACTGGGGGGACCCATAGCTGCTTGACGTCACATGTGTGATGCCCCCATCCCCAGTCCGGCCAGGCCAACTCGGCCCACTATCCTCCATCCACCAGCCACCTTACCTTGTGAAAGGGATGTGCGAGGCCAAGATGCTTCACCCTGTGTATCCTTGACAGAGATCGCCATCACACTGTCCCAGAACGCACTCTGGCGATCCTCAAAGGGATACACGGGGTGAAGATACTTTGCTCTTTCATCTAGCGATCTTCAAAAGCGTCTTCACCCTGGCACATTCTTTTGAGGATGGATGTAGATTTGGGGGGGGCAACCCCCTTCTTGAAAATATTGGTAGGGCCCTGGCTCCGCGGCCCCCGTAGATGGTGCCCCTGACCTGAGGTCTTTCTGGTTTGTAGCTAAGTCTCTTACACGGCAATCCTATGTATATTTACTTCGAAATAAATCCCAGTGCTCAATTTTTTTTATCTCCAGGTTAAGTGTGGTGTGGTGGTTAGAGTGTTTGGATTAGGACCAGGGAGACTGGTGTTGAAATCCCCAGTCTGATTGTCAGGTGCTGGGAGCAAACACCAGCGCTTAGCACCAACTCTGTCTTCTTCAATTTGTGACCTATCTAGTTGAAGCCCATTAAAGGCAGGATGCTGGACTAGATGCTGCGAATGGGCACATGCAGGATTTTGCTAGCTTTTTTGCCATAATGTGGAGCAGAATGGACTACCCTGTCACACTGTGGGCTTTGCTTGAGCCCCTGAGAGTACCTGAACAAATGCATTTGGGCAATAATACAAAGCCATAACCTTAAAACTGATTGAATTCTCAAGATCACCTTAGATACCTGACTATCCAAATCCAATAGCAAAACATAGGGGTTTGAAGACTTCAATCAATATAAACCTTTTACAGCCCAACCTTTCAACTGCAGTTGTGTGTGTGTGTGTGTGTGTGTGTGTGCGTGATAAGAAGGTTAATTGAATAATTGATCAGTTAGTTTAAAAAGTCTTCAGATACCTTCAGAAAAAAAATTGTGCAGCAATAGTGATTTACATGATTTTGAATTCAGCCACTCTATTTTTTGGAAAGTATAACTACTACTATTACTATTATTACTTCTAATATTTATGTTCTACATTTTAATAATATAGAATCCAGTGCAGAATGTAATAAAAAATCTGAATGGAAATCTACAGCTATCAGCAGAGATAGCCCACAACCAATCTCCATTTTTCAAGATACCTTAGGGCTAGCTAATATTAAGCCCGTTTAAGTCTTGTTGATTAACTTTCACCCATTTAAAACAACAGAACTTAAAAGCACTTAACACCTTGTCAAGAATATTAGAATTTGAATATTATTAATTCTGAAAATGTCAAATTAAATTCCTCATTTCTGCATCCAAATTTGTACATATACCTTGGCATCCCGGACCAAGGTCCATTAGTATACTCATCAAAAACCCTCTATCCCTGCACAAAACCCCTATTTTTGCGGCACCTGACTGAAGAGTCAACTCTGCTGGCATTATTTATTCTTCTACAAAATGATCTGTGAAATTTGAAAATGGGCTGAGTGATTCAGTCTGTGTTAACAGCACAAATGCAAACTCTCTGCAAACTTGCCGAGCTCATGAAACTTCGCCGCATCTTCAGAATGAAAGTCTTTCAAATTCATAGAAGGGTTTATAAAGCGGGGAAAGGACAATAGAAGCTAAATTTTTAGTAAGACCCTTCAGGCCTCCAGAATACAAAACTCGCATCAGGGCAAATCGGCACGGAGAAGGTACAAAAGACAAGCCCTAATTAGCAGAGCAAAAAAAATATTTCAGCTCTTATTTGATTGGTGCTTCACATTACAAGATCCGTTGATTGATAATGATTAATAGAAAACTTTTACATTTTCATTGAACAATCAGACTGTTTCTTTTTTGTGATTGCCATCTTATAATTAAGCATTAAGAAATTAGTGCAGTGAGTTATCATTACAAATCAGGTGTAATCTGCAGCATGCGGAAGAAGGCTGAAGGAGAAGGGGGGAAAGATTATATATTCTTTTTTTAACCTCCAAGTCAACAAGCTGCCATAACCACTGGCAAAAAAAACCCATCAGAAGACAGTTTTGCCCCATGTTGTTGTCAACCTCACAAACTTTTAGAAGGACAGTGGTACCTCTGGTTAAGAACTTAATTTGTCCTGGAGGTCCGTTCTTAACCTGAAACTGTTCTTAACCTGAGGTACCACTTTAGTTAATGGGGCCTCCCACTGCTGCCGCCGCCGCCGCTGCTGCGCAATTTCTGTTCTCATCCTGAAGTAAAGTTCTTAACCAGAGGTACTACTTCCGGGTTAGCGGAGTCTGTAACCCGAAGTGTTTGTAACCTGAAACGTTTGTAACCCAAGGTACCACTGTACCATAAAAATCCATTGGATTTATTTCTCCACATGAAAACAGTATCTTGGCCATGGTTAATGATGAGCCAAGTAAGTCTCAGTGTCAAATAATGTCACCTACTTCTTAGACATACTATACATAACTTGTTTTAGAACAGGAAAATCTGATAATTGTTTCTCTGTCATTAGGAAGCACTTTCTGAGGGCAAGAGCTGTTCGACAGTGGAACGGACTGCCTTGGAAGGTGGTGGACTATCCTTCACTAGAGGTATTTAAACAGAGATTGGATGGCCATCTGTTAGGGATTATTTAGTTGTGATTCCTGCAAGGTAGGGGGTTGGGCTAGATGACTCCCAAGGTACCCTCCAACTCTGCAATTCTGTGATTTAGCCCTGCCTTCTCCAGAGTGAGAGACTGAGGCTATTGCCGCAGATGGCTAGCACGGCGTCGCTCCACTCCACTCCTCGTCTCAGATTGTGATTAAAGAAATGGCACCAAAAGTGTGTAGACTGTCTCCTCCACAGAGGAGGAAGGGCATCTTGCAAACATGCATGAGTGAAGATGGCATCATTCCACACAGGCCATCAAACAAATAAAATCTAGATCCTACAGGGCAGCTGTCAAACTTTTTTTTTGTATAGCTCTGCCGTTGATACTGTGTCAAGGAGATGTGTGCTTTGTGTTATGTCTCACAGCAAAATGACAAGAGTTGCCGTCCATTGACAAAGCCACACGACAGAGAGGTGTCACATGCCGACAGTACAGATGTATTATCACTCCGCCACTTAGACAGGAGTGACATCTCTTGACTCTCAAGAGACAGCACTGCGGATGAGCTAACCTGAGGATGCCGGCAGTACGCTTAATAATATTGACAGTCAACAATTCTACGGGCATCAAGGCCAAAGGAGTGGCAAGGCCTGAAATCCAGGATGCTCCTTTCTACATCAGAGACAATGGCAAGGGATAAAAGATGAGTTGAGTTCAAACAGCATTGTTTACCATCCACCAAACACTTCTCTCTGGGTTGAAAAGTGTAAGATTTTCATGCTGGAGTGAGGGAGGTCAACTTCTTCAAAAACTGCACTAATGTTAGGCTACCAGCATTTAAAACACAGAGCTAGAGATCTGTATTTTTCACCAAAATATTAGATGAACTTACTGAGAAATGGTGTGGTGTAGTGGTTAGAGCAAAGGTAGTCAGCCTGGTCCCTACTGCCCACTAGTGGGCATTTCAGGATTCCAGGTGGGCGGTAGGGGGTTCTATGGCACAAGCTGAATTCTTCCAACGAACACTGGTGGGTGGTAAGGAAATTTTACCATCAAGAAAGATGCATTAGTGTGCAGTAGGTATAAAAAGGTTGACTACCCCTGGGTTAGCGTATCAGACTAGGATCTGGGAGACAGGGTTCTAGTTCCCATGCAGCCATGAAGCTCACTGGGTAACCTAACCTACTTCACAGGGTTGTTGTGAGGATAAAATGGAAGGGGAGGAGAACGATGAATGCCGCCTTGAGCACCTTGTAAAAAAATGGCAGGATAAAAATGTAATAAATAAACAGAATAAATAAATAAATAAATAAATAAATAAGATCATTATAGTTGCACATGTTTTAAGTAAAAAAATTACTTCTCTTTTAAAAATAAAAGGATATGATATGCAATTCAAATAAAATGTAACTTGATTATCTAGAGTGAACACTGAAGCCTATGAATGTCCCTTAACCTGATTAAAAGGCTAGTGGGTGGTGCCCGTATTGAAAAGTGGATATATGATATCAGGATACAGCTGAGGGCAAAAAAGTAACCCTGACCACTCCATTACCTCTGCTCAATACCAGCTCCTCTTGGCCTGTCTGCTCCTTGAACCGGGTTGTTGGCACCTACTCAGAGTAAATCGATTGAAATTAATGCACCTTAGTTTGTTATGCCCATTAAGTTCAATAGGTTTATTCTGTCTAGCAATAGCACTGCATATAACCCATTGTTCCCATTACAGCTGGTCACTATAACAACTTTTTAACTAAGGCTGCATGGACACTTTATCTGTCCCAGCTCCTTCCAAAATAGCAGTTTGAAAGCATGCCAGTGCAAGGAGATAAACAGGTACCGCTGCGGCGGGAAGGTAAATGGTGTTTCCTTGCACTCTGTTTTCCATCACGGTGTCCCGTTGCTCCAGAAGCGGTTTGGTCATGCTGGTCACATGTCCCGGAAAGCTTTCTGTGGACAAAAGCTGGCTCCTTGAGCCTGAAAGCGAGATGAGAGCTGCAACCCCATTGCCGCTTTTGACTTGACTTAAATGTCCAGGGGTCATTTCCCTTTCCCTTTCCCTATATCTTCAAAGGACACCTGAAGTAAATTTTTAATTTTATTGCATTTTTGTCCCACCTTTGCAGGTTAGGCTGAGAGGCAGTGACTGGCCCAAGGTCACCCAAGGAACTTCATGACCAAGTGAGGATTTGAACTCTGGTCTCCCAGGTCCTAGTCTAACATTCTAACCACTACTCCACCCTGGCTCTGTAGTGGTTTTCAACGCTGGGGAGGGAAAGCAAATCCAAGCACTAGTTCTAAGGTTGTGTACATACTATACCTTTAAAGAACAGCCAGAGCGCACCCCCCCCAAAGAATCCTGGGAACTGTACTTTTTTTCCTCACAGAGTTACAATGCCCAGCAACCCCTAACAAACTACTGTGCCCAGAATTCTTTGAGGATGGGGAGAAGAGCTTTGAATGTGCTTTGAAGGTACAGCATGTGAGCCTTACAATTAGTGACTGGGTTTGCTTTTTTTTCCCCCATCACCCCTTTTCTTCACAGTCACATCTTTTAGATTGCAGGCTGTGGGCAGGCACTGCTTTAGCAGCACTGATCTGCATTAAGTCTTTTTCAGCTGAAGAACAGGGTGAAAATGCTTCAAACAAATAAATTAAAGAGAATAAGAGCTTCCTTCTTCAACCACAATTTGGGGGGTGACTTAGAACGAGCATTTCCACTGAAGTAAACAGAGAAGCTCCTGCTTGCATAGGTGATCCATACATCAGTGTTGGCCATCAACACAGAGAAAAGGGCTTGCACACTCCACCTTTGCCACAGGGGTACCAAACAATACTCTCTACTTCACCACATCCCCCAGGGAGAGATGGAGGTTGAACTGCAGGGCATGGTTGCCTCACCTTGACACACAGATGCACCTGAAAGCCACTTAGGGCTGTCGCCTCTGGCACTAGGGCACTTGCGCTAGCAAGATAACACAACTGAGGAATCCAGTGCAACAGCTGCCCCAGGAGAAACTCATCATGCAACAGATTGCACCATCTATTGTGCAACCAAGTCACTAGCAACCTGCTTATGCATGTTCTGGTGCAATACATTTCACTGTTGCAACAAGTATACCACTAAGTGACTTTAACTTACTAGTGCTAACGTTGGATACAACCTATAAAGTGGCAGTCATAACATGGCAGTCATAATATGGCAGCCTATGAAAAATCATACAACTGATGGCTGTGATTCAAATTTCCAAGCTTGAAACATCTGCACGCTCAGAGCAGAATAGAGTGATGGCGCAGCGCACATGGACATTTAGTTATTTACTGAAGCTCCTAGATTACGACATTCCAGAGAGTGATATCCAATATGAAAAGAGTATTGCTTCCTTACGCAAAATCTTACTTTTCTTGAGAGAAAAGAACATTTCACGTATGGGGGGGGATAACTGCTTTGCATATAATCCTAAATAACCTAAATTAGCTACATTTAGTGAGAAGCATCCTTTGCACCTCGTGAATCTATTATCCCTCTCACTATGTCATTAGTCACACCATATTTTTCAACCAGGAAAACCACAACGAAGCAAAATCCTACTTCAATCCATTAGAACTGCATAACACAAAGTACAATAATTTTGACTTTCAACGTGGAGAATAGAGCCGTATTCCACAAGAAAGGGCTGGTGTGAAATAATTTAACAAATTTGTTTCCTCACATTAGAAAGGACTGTGCATAACGGATTCACGGTTCTCCTCCCTTGGCTTTGGTTACATAGAATTCTGTAGTTTGTTCCTGACTAGGGAAAATAATATTTCTGCGTTACCGTCCTTGTGATTCCTTAAACACATCCAGTGCTTGCTGGAGAAAGACTTCACTAAAAGGCCTTGTGGTCAAAGGTCAGGCTCGAGAAAGGCGGCTTTTGACTTATGGGAGAATGCGGTTCCTCCCCTTTCAGTGTTGCTGCTAAGTCGTTTCTTGTGTGTTTTAAACAAAGTGGCTTTGACTCTTGTGCTCCTTTCCAGATCTCATATCACATCGGATAATAGTCCTAATGGCAGACTTTTCCTCATCATTTCGAACATGACTCAGCTGCAGGCAAGAGAGTCACAATGTGGCAAGAGATGGGGACTCTACAATGTAGTATAGTAGTTAGAGTGTTAGACTAGGACCCGGGAAACCAGGGTTCGAATCCCCACTCAGCTATGAAGCTCACTGGGTGACCTTGGGCCAGTCACTGCCTACTCTCAGCCTAACCTACCTCACAGGGTTGTTGTGGGGATGAAATGAGGAGGGAGACAACTGTGTATGTCACTTTGAGCTTCTAGGAGGTGAAAGGTGGAATATAAATGCAATCTAAATAAATAAAGATATATAGATGGAAAGATTTGTCCATTTCAGTCCTTCTCGTGTTCTCCAATCTTGAATTCAGTTCCCAACAATCCGTCAGCAAGAAGAATCCTCATGGAAGCGCATCAACCTTTTGGTGTGAGTTTCTCCTAATAAACATATTTTTTTGACCATACATACAATTTCCCCAAATATAAAGCATTTTTGGTATGTTATTTTCACTAATATCTTCATCACTTCCCCCTGATACGTGCATTCTTGTAAATATTGTTTCCGTATACAAAACCGCACCGGAAATTTGGAGAAGTGGAAATTTCAAAAGCTGCATGTGTTTCAGTTACATATATTGTTTCTGAAAGTGCAGATCTGATCAATTTGGCTTTAAATGTGACCTGAGTTGAATCCCCCAGCAATTCCTGTTTACAAATGCCCCTCTCCTCAATTTACTCCTCACCTGTTGCAGCCTCCCCTCCCTTCTCCAGCCAGTTTTCGACAAATAGACCCTCCTGTAAATTATGGGGCCACCTAGGTGCAATATAAATTGCATATGAAGGGCAGATGAGAAACACCTAGAGGAATAGGCTGATTATGAATATTTCATTTCTTCTGTCTCCTTGAGTTTTGTGCAAGATATAGTGGTATATACATACACAATTATATAAAAATCTGTTGGGGTATTTGCTTCTCTATGCATATACCGTTTATTAGTGTCATTCTAATCATAAATACAATTATTCTTGAGTACTCTATTGCAAAAACCAATAAAGTAGGCCTCAGCAGAGATTCCGAAATTGTTTAACTTTTCTCTAGCAAAAAAAAAAAAATATTAAAACACTATTATCACATCAATGAAAGGAAAAGACAGGAAGATAATAAAGTTATGTTAAACCTCCCTGTATGTACTCATGTGTGAAACAGTTATGTCTGGTCACATAATTGCAATGGTTCTGAGAAATATTTCATATTTTATAATGAACATTAAAAGAGTTTGTGGATCATTACTTTATATGAGTTCCAAAGTTATTACATAAAACCCAACAGGAATGGTTATAAATTATTTGATCCTCCAGTCTAGCCTTGGTAAACATAACATGAAAGCTCAACCATTGCAGAGTCGGCAGACAAGTTGCATGTCAGGAGGTGAGCTATATTTCTACAGACAGAGAAGAACAAAAGGGAAGTTGGGAGGGGGGGCGCCAGGAGACCATTAGAGAGCCCCGTTTTGCTTGCTGTTTGCATGAAATTTGATTCTGAAATTAACTTGGTGCCGTGACCCTAACACTTTGCATAAAAGAAAGTCCTTTCATTTTAGCGACACTCACCCTTCCAGATAGCGGTAATCGCCGTCAAGTTTGCAATCTTACAACTGCACTCCAGGAGTTATGCACAGGGCACAGAACAACATGGAGCAACATGGATAAATTATATGTGTTGCAGAGCAGCCCAATTCTCTTGCATGAAACATCACGGTACCATAAATTAAGAGAGTGCAAATATCTCCTGGCACAGTTTACCACCATGGTGTCTATGGGACATTAAACAGAGAAGATATACCTATTACCTTTGCTCAAATACGTTCCATTCCTTCCACTGGGAATGGAGGAGAAATTCAAGCCAGTATACATCTGCAGCGAAATCTATCAAATTTGCACTTTCCCAAACAATATGATAACCACTATCCTTCAAAAGCCACACTAATCCCAAGGGTCATCTAGCAGGAATCACAACTAAAGCATCACTGACAGATGGCCATCCAAACTCTGATTAAAACCCTTTGATGAAGGAAAGGCCACCTTCTAAGGGAGCTCGTTCCACTGACAGACAGCTCATACTATCAGAAAGTTCTTCCTAATGTTTAGTCAGAATCTTCTTTCTTGTCATTTGAATACATTGGTTTGTGTCCTACCCTCTGGAGCAGGAGAAAACAAGTTTTCTCCATCTTTCCAAAAAGAAGAGCCCGCTGGATCAGGCCAAGGATCCATCCTGTTTGTGTTGGTTCAATTGCTCATACCATGCAGCATGAATTATATCTTAAGGCTGCAAATCTAAGCATATTTGCTAACATGCAAGTCCCAGGGAAGCTGGTGGGACTTACTTCCAAGTAAGTATTGTTTGGATGAGGCCATTGCTGCTCATTCTCAGAGCTGCATCTGGAATAAATGGAAGCTCATTCTCCTGCATATTGTTTTGTCTACAGCTTTGATATTATTATAACCATAGCCCGAAAGTCATTGTCATCATCCTTGAACTTAACACCACAGTTCATGCCTAAGATATCGTACTTAGTGAGAAAATAATACTGCAAGCAATTTATCTGATCTTTTTTTTCAAAAGGTTCCTGAAGAGTACCTCATTGAAATATGAAAAATACAGTGTACTAACAAAAATTACATACTTGACACAATTAACATGAATTTTTTTTTCTGTCTCCTAACAATAGTTAGCAGGCAGCATTTTAATGAATAAATGATCATTTGTGTCAGAGATAAGTGTAATTCTAGATGGGTTCCATGTGACATATACAGTAGCTTGTTCATCTAGTGCTATTAGTCTATTGCCTTTTGTGTTCAAATACTTCAGGGATGGGTTCAAAAAACTTGCTTCCTTATAAAGGGAACAAAAAGAAGTGACGTAACAAAATCTCTGAATACGTGAATATAGACAATTGCTATGGCCCATGATATACCCTGGAGAACACCAAAAGGAATAATAATGTGTGCTCTGAGGTTCTGTGGGATATATAGTAACAGAAGTGGCCTTAGGAGTGCATCTATTTTTAGCGTATCGGTCTACTTATACCCCATGTTTCCCTTAATAGGAAAATACCCAAGGTGTTTTACAACAATCAAAATAATTGCAAGATTACAGTCATAAAAATCAACAGCGACAACAGCAACTTCCTTCTGAATAAGCCATCAAAAGGCTGCTTTAAAAGGATTTTGAAAGTCTCTAAAACAAGGCTTGGATCAGGCAGACTAATGCTCTCCTACTTCTCTCCCATCCCAGTCAGAAAGACGCAGAAGAGCTCCCCACCAACACCAGAAGCCTGACTTATGGAAACTCACTGTGGTAACTTCTGAGAACCTGATCGGCACAGCCTTTGTCAAACTGGTGCCCTGCAGATGTTTGGGACTACAGCTCCCATCAGCCACAGTGAGCACAACCATGCATAGTGGGCCATGCTTCTCCTGGCTCATGGAAAGAAAATGACCACCACATAATGGAGAGGGGGATATTAAAGGGACCCAGTGTGGGAAGGGGAGCAAAAGAAGGCAAAACCTTCATTCATCATTCATCCTTCCCCTTCCTTCTTTTGCTGGAACTTGATACCCAGAATGCATTCCTCACCTGGCACTCTATGCAAACCCATGGCCAGCCTGATCGCTGTAAACATATGGGCAGATGTGCAACCCACCTGCCACTAGGAAGCTTGATAAACCTTCCTTGTTTTGCTTCCTGCCTGGCACAGATGGAAGGATCTGTCCATTTTGGCGCCCTCCATTCCTCCGTTTTTTCCTATCTTAAATCTAGTTTTTCACATTCCTGCAGCGATTTGTGTGTGTTTGTGTGTTTTAAAATCCTCATAAATCACCTGGACAGCTATAATGCATGTCATGGCCGGAGATCTGCATCTGGCTTGGTGGTCATACATTTGGCAAGCCTGGCCTCCTCATTGATAACTGCCGTATACATTTGGCAAGGGACGACAGAGAAGCTCGGTGGTAGAGCACATGCCTTGAATGCAGATGGTCCCAATTCCTGGTTTCTAGATGAAAATGAGGGGACAAATCTCAGTCTGAGACCCTGGAGAGCTGCTGCCAGCCAGAGTAGACAATACTGAACTAGATGGACAAACTGTTCAGTATCAGGCAAACCTCCTATTAATTTTATCCAAGACATTTCCATCCTGCTCTTCTTACAGTAGTTAACATAATCATGCATGACACAGAAGCAGCAACAGCTGCAAATAATTCCTGGCGCATCCTCATAGCTACATTTTTAAAAAACTTACTTATCTTTGTTCCGTCTTTCCAGGATGTCATTTGAAAGGGGAATTCACACCTATGCCTCCAGGGTGACACAGATGTGTGCATACATCCACGACAGATCTGTTCGGTTCGTGCAACATCCCACTGCAAATTCTGCATCTCTGCATCATCACACGGAAAACCACCCTTTGACTATGGACTGATTTCTCCTTTCATCTTTCCCATGGTGAAGTCATCATGAGATTATTTTACCTCATCAATTTCACATAGAGAGTTTGTCTTATGAATGCACCCCTCCCCAACATGATGACAACTGGTATTTACCACATCAGGGAGCCTGTTAGCTCCCAAGCTTTTCACCTGATGTGGTAAATACCAGCTGTCACTAAGTAGGGGTGCACTCACAGGAAATAGTTCTCCAAGTGAACATGCTGATGTACAAGAATATCAGGGTGACTTTAACATGTCAAATATGGACATTGAAAGCAGGCATATAGGGGGCTGCTAGGAATTCATGGAAACAATTCCTTCCTTGTTTTGTTTATTGTGTTTTCAATTGCTTTTTTTCTTCTTCACTGGAAACTTACATATATGACATTCTCCCCCATTTAAACATGCACCCAGTTCTGTTCCCAACTCAAGATATGACATAAACAACAGTTTAGTACTTTTTAGTTGTCTTAAGCAACTGTTCCTTAACCAGGGGAAGCATGCTATGGCAAAATTTGAGTACTTCCGTTGTGTATATAGCTTATGTTCAGGTAAGATCCAATGTCAATATTCAAGACCTTTGCTTTTTATACAGGAAACCCTCAAATCTGTAATTTTGAGAAGTGCCATCTTGTTCATGGTGTTCACTAACCTCAGAACTTTCCAATTTTTAACAAATCTCAAAGCTTCTTGTAGAAGAATTGAGCAGGCCTTGGAATATATATATATATGGCAGCAATCCTTTTATACCACAGCCATAATTTTGAAGTATGAAGATTGCAACTATTGATAGTGCAGTTCCACCTTTATCTACCTTGATATGATACTTCACTAAATTGTAGGGATAAAAAATAACTTCTTTTTTTGTTGTTGAGAGGTGCAGGTTGATCAAGCTTTGGCATTTTAAAGCTAATCTATTTATCATTGTTTTCTTCACTTCTACAAGGGATAAAAATACATTTGGAAATATTTTCAAAACGGCCTCTAGGTGGTGCTACTACTGCATTGCTTTGGTGTTTCGGCACAATGAAAACATTAATTTGCTATGAGATAATTTTTGACGTAAATGTAAAATGGTGCCCATTCGAACTCAGTAATGAAGCATAGTGCATTTCTACAGCTCCTAATTTGACTAGTTAAATGACTCCATTACGTGTCTAACAGACAGAAGCAAATAATTTCTGGTCAGTTGACGCTCACTTATCCGTATCATTTTACCCTGAAAATAAAGTCTCTAATCTACAGTTTCTTTGTCTTAGTTTTTAATATTATTAAAGCACACATACTTAAGTAATAAGAAATGCAAAGGGCACAGACTATCAATTAAGGTGGAGGGGAAAACAGATTTCAAATGCATATATGCTAGTAGCATTTGAAAAGCACAAAACACCGCAGGCAATAAATTAAAGAAAAAGACAACAGTGTTGTTTTGCCTATATTGTTGGAGATAAAGCTTTTTTATTTTTTAAAAAACTATTATAAATATATTTATTTATTTGTGGCTTCTGAAAGCGTGAGTGAAGCCATTCCTGGAGCTATATTTGATAAAGTTTGCGATCCAAGTTTGAAAACATTTTGACAGCTCCTTTGTAGTACATATTGTTAGAGCAAATAGGGCCGGCCATCTTAATAAATATCAGGTGATGAATTTTTTTTGCCTCCAGGAACAAAAATGGTTAAATGCTGAATCTTTATGTTCCTTGTCTAAATGCTCTCCCCCCAACTCCTTCTTCCTGCTGAAAACAAGTTTAGAATTAAAGCATATCACTTTACACATATTGCATGCATATTAGTGAGACACAGCTGTTTATGCCTCACTCTTAAGAGCCATATGATTAAGTTATGGGATATCAGATAATCCAAAGTCTCTCTCTATTGGTCACCGTCCGCAGACAAAGGCTTTTTAGTTTTAAGTCCATTTAATGACAGAATGTCCAATTCGACAAATGTGTGAGTAATTCCAATGGAACACCTGTGGCTCCCTCTGCTAGACTATGGAAGAGAAGATATAAAATGTCATTACAGTAGCATGCAGTGTCTGACTTTTATTTTTAAAGGGGGGGAGAGGAAGGGGGTATTCAGTCTGTTACTCCAGCTCAAACTCACACCATCATGCTCAGGTTCCCAGGATTTCCAGAAAGATGAATGACACCCTGTTATCCAAAGTGTAGTCGACTTTTCTCTTTTTTTATGTTTGCGCAATATGGGTGAGTTAAGGACAGAGCAGGGTGGATAGATTAGATAGACAGATAGATGACAAATAGGGGTGTGTGGGTGTGGGTGTGTAGACACACACACTTATATATAAATATATTAACAGGTTGATTTCATGGAAACACGTGAGTTCCAATGGCAGGTACATAATTCATAGGTGACTTGAGGAAAGTCCCCAGTAGGGTTTAGGGAGTCACTGTCAGTCAGAGTAGATAATACTGACCCAGATAGAACAGTGGTCTGACTCAACTGAGTGTTGACTTTTTCCATTTTCAAATTCCAAAATAATAATAAAGAGGGGTGCTACAAAGCTGTAACATGACTTGGGGATTCAAAATATATTTTAGTTAAATTAATATAATTTAGGGGGTTTTTGTAAGTAAAATGTGCATAAAATTGCATAGAAATAATTAAATATGATTGCCAAGAACTTGGCGTTTGTTTGCTTGCATGTTTGTTTGTTTCTTGTTAAGAATTACCCGACATTTTTGGAAGGTAAAATGTAAACTCTTTGGTTTTCCAAAAGCAGTTTGTGTACTTCATCAAACGTAGACTTACCAAGGTAAACGCTCAATCACAAAAAGAATAGCAGATTTGAATTCCTCACACCCTAAACCATACTTTAAAGACCCCCCTCACTGAAGAAATTTGCAAAAATTGTTTCACCCCCTAAAACGACACACCCCAAGGGTGGCTTCCTGTGTGCCTTGGTTGATCCTTTTTATTAAACTTATTTCATCCCTCTGAAGTCAGTAAGACTCTCAAACACCTGAAATCCACATTATTCACCTTAACTGGGTTATGAACTAGGCAGTAAGTTCATATTCGAAATGCATTGCCAACTTCCTTATAGTCCTAGCATTCACCCATTTGGGTATGTAGCCAGCAGCATCACCTCAAGGCCTTATTTTTAGGCTTTGATTAATTCAGAGCAGGACTTTTGCAGCCATCAGGGCAAATCTCAAAATGACACCAGGTGGCAGGTGGACCAGAATTGGGAATCACTCCAAATTTATCCAAACCAACCCACCATCTGGTCCCTCTTGTTTGAGTTTTGCAACATCCAGGGTTAAGTGAACAGGCATCCTGGCATTTGAGGTGATGTCAAGAGGTAGCAAAGTTCTGTCTGTCAAAGTAATGCCCATAGCTGTAATGATTTGCTTGTCACACACAAGTTCATTGTTAAATGATGGAAATGCCTATGCAAATCAGGTGACAAGTAGAAAATTTACCTGAAACATCATCTTATAGCCCACTCGATCACTTTGATCTGCAGAACTGGCACTGTTACAGGTGCCGCATAATTCTTGTTCTGCCTTTGTAAAAAAAACAATATTTTAGCGTGGCATTACCCACACTTTGGAACTCCCTGCCTATTGACATCAGCCGGGCGCCTTCACTGTGCTCTTTTCAACACCTGCTAAAAAACAGTGTTGTTTAGGCAAGACTACCCAGACATGTGAGGGACGTGGGTGGTGCTGTGGGTTAAACCACAGAGCTTGCCAATCAGAAGGTCGGCGGTTCAAATCCCCGCGACTAGGTGAGCTCCTGTTGCTTGGTCCCTGCTCCTGCCAACCTAGCAGTTCAAAAGGACGTCAAAGCGCAAGTAGATAAATAGGTACCGCTCCGATGGGAAGGTAAACGGCATTTCTGTGCGCTGCTCTGGTTCGCCAGAAGTCATGCTGGCCACATGACCCGGAAGCTGTACGCCGGCTCCCTCGGCCAATAAAGCAAGATGAGCGCCGCAACCCCAGAGTCGGTCACGACTGGACCTAATGGTCAGGGGTCCCTTTACCTTTACCCAGACATGTAGAACGTTGACATTTATTTTAATCTGTTTCCAGTTTATTGCTGATTTTATTTTTGAACGTTTCAAAGAGCTGTTTTGACTGGCAATCTTATTGTTTTATTCTCTATTAAGCCACTTTGAGGGATTTTCTTTGCAGTCAAGCGGTGTATAAATTTTATGAAATAAACAACAAATGAGCAGATATTACCAAACCACCCAATTCGTTTCAATGCAATAGCATCCATTTCCCCCCAAAAAAGGTTCTTTAAGAAAGGGCAACCTAAAGCATAGCTGCCGACAAGCACAGATCTGCCCTTAGGATGCATTTACTCAGTCCATGTGGCTCTTCTATATTTAAACAAGCTATCGTAGCTTTTCATATTGCAGACAGAACTTTTACCTCCCCTCAAACTTAGGGCTCCTTCACATTTTCATTTGCCCTGCTGTTTCCCCCCAGGAAAACCTGGGGTTTCAGAGATGCCAACTTGAATAGAATATTGAAAGGCAGGTAAGCCCCGTCCCACAAAGTATCTTAAGGGAGGGGACGGAAGGGACCTTAGCTCCTAGGAGTTGGCTCCTTAGTTCTGAATCAAAACAAGCAGCAATTGGGTTTTCTGATGCTTGCTGTTTGTTCTGATTGAGGACGAAAGAGCAGGTTTTCCGGGGAAAGCAGTAGAAGAAAGGCAAAACCGCTCTGACACATGTTTTCTAGGCACAGAACAGGTGGAAGTGTGGATGACCCCCATAATTCTTGTCAACGTCAAATCTGACATTCAGTCGCCAGTCACCTGTCCATCCAACATATCTGTGAACTGAAATAACTTGGGACAGGAATTAAGCTCCCAACCTTCATAGATTCAGTTGATGGTCTGAGCATTGCTTACCCAAGTAAGTGGGTAACTGTCTGATCTCATGGTGTGTGGACTCAATTTCCTGGTCACACAGAGAGCTCTAATGAATGTGCAACTTAAATAAATTCAGGCTCTATTCAGACCTTTGGCTGACCATGCAGAAGTCAGAGTGGATCTAAGAGGTATGATTCTACTCCTTCCTGTCCATGCATTCATGACCATATATAGTATGGGAACAGGGTTGCATAGCAATAAATCAGATTATGCACATCCATAGGTGTACCAGGCTATATTTATTTTGTTTCCTGCATTTGTATCCCACTTTTTTCTCTCCAAGCAGCTCAAGGTGGCATACAATGGTTCTTCCCTTCCTCATTTTATCCTCACAACAACCCTATGAGGTAGGCTAGGCTGAGAGGCAGTGACTGGCCCCTGAGTTCACCCAGTGAGCTTCATAGCTGAGTGGGACTTGAACCCTGCTCTAACCACTACACCACACTGACTCTCTTATCTTGTAGTTTGGGCATGATCAATGGACCCTGACATTAAACAAAAAATATTGACCAATGAACACTGATACAACTTTTTAAATGGAGGCACAGGCGTGGCAAAGTAATTTGGGGTTGCACTAACAAGATCTGAAATGATGGCCATTCCTCTGCTGGTTTCAACAGATCTAGAAAAAGCTAATGCTATAAAGATCATCAGCTCCAAAGGCTTGCAGAGAACAGAGAAGAAAATATGAATGCAAATAGGTAAAGAGAGAGAGAAACTCATTTGAAAAAACATTTGAGGGATGAAAACGAGAAGAGTTCCCACCAATGTTTTAAAAGAAGAAAGGTAGAAGTCAGCAAGCAACTTTAATACTAATGGATGGGGCAACCGATGTAACACTTATGCTTAATAACAGCTCTAGGGAAGATCAAGGAAATTAAACACCAGTAAGCTCAACTTCAGCAGTGGGGAAGATATTGGAAACACTAATCAGGGACAAAACAGGGAAAGTTATGATTTAATTAAAGATATTCAGCATGGATTCACAAAAGGGAGATCATACGTAACAAAAACTAATAGAATATTTTGGGGAGGGGGAAACCGCACCGGCAAAAAAAGAATTGAAGACGGATGCTGTGAGCATGATTAACAGCCCCCTGTGTTTCGTTACCACCTGAAACACTGAGCCACTATCCATATCCCATTGTTGTCAGCGAAAAAGCTTGCATGGATTCTTACAGGATTTGGTTTTGCTCCTGAACTTCAGATATTCCGTCAAAGTTGTGGCCTGCCAAAGATGGTACCAAGGAGTAAGACACTGGCAGCAAACGTCTTTCTTATGTGGATAATAAAAGTAAGAAATCATGGGACGGACCAAAACTTGATGCATCTTAGTCCTAAACCACCCAGACCTGGCAACCTCAGACATTCCTGGAGTGCAGATGTCACCGAGGCTGTAAGCTGTGCAAGACTGGCTGATACTGTAACTGCAGACTGGGTTGAGCAGTGCTAATGTTTCCCAGGCAGAAACGCAAGCCAGTGCGCCCAATCTCAGGCCAAAAATGTTTCCAATAATTTCTTCCAGCCCCAAGCAGCACTAGTAGCTGCTGCACTGTCAATGAACTGTATAGTATCCCAGATCCCTTTCAGTTAGCAGAACGGCCGATTATGCAAGGGATGCATCCATCTGGCTAATGGTAGGGCCGGACCTGCTCCTGGCATTACTTTCCATGCTGGTTCCCTTTTGCAATCTGATAAAGGGGGCTGTCCTTTTATGATCTGATTTCAAGGAGAGAGGCGTTAAAAGATGGTCTGTCCGATTTCATAATGAAACCGCACTGGTTGCTACCAGTTCTGGAGAAGAAATCAAGCTGATGTTAAGAAGCAGCAATTCAGATGGAATTTCTTGATATGAGCATAAGATGAAAGGTGTGTGGATCTGCCAGCATCAGTAGGAATGACAAGACATTTAATGAAAAGAGAAGGATCTACTCAAAATAAAATACAGACTGCGCACCAAGGCTGAAACAATTTCTTAATCAATTTGCATCTGTATCTATGTAGTTCTCCATTAAATACTACCACTACTACTACTACTACTACTACTACTACTAATAATAATAATATTTGTACCCCACCCATCTGACTGGGTTGCCCCAGCCATTCTTATGTCATTAAGAAATAAGAGCCACGGTCCCCTGAATTAACTGGACACATGTGGTATCTCCATCTTCCCACCAAACAAATGTTTGCTACAGCTCACAAGTTTCAAATAAGTATTAATCCTAAATCAGCAACAACAACACTCTTTCAGAAAATACTTTCAGATAGTGCTTAGGCCAACTCACTCCAAGAAGCCACCCAACTCATATTTCATGACTCAAATTGCATGGTCAAGGACCATGACAGTCTACAACAGGGTAGACTGTGAGTTAAGACTAAATGATTCTTCATAATTATTAAGAAATCTAGGCTATACTCAAGTGCACTATCCATTTAGTCATCATAGGGGAAATGTGAAAGTGCTAAAAATGTTTGTCCATAAACCAATAGGTGGTATTTTCAGCCACAGTCTGTATGGAGCCTAGACACCTGCACTGGAGAATTAAGGTGTATTTGTATGTGTGATATACCATCATTTTCTAAATGGGAAAAAATGAAAATTGAACACCAATACTTTCATCAGGCCTGCTTCTTTCTTTCTTTCTTGTTGACATTTTTGTAGATTGTGACAAACATTCATTCTAACATAATTGCCTACATTTTCTTCTTCTTCTTGAATTCCCTATAGCTACAGAGAAATGCTGGAATCCATTATTGAGCTACCCTGATGGCAGGCACTTGATTGACATTTATCTATTTGAAACATTTCCATGCCTTCTTTCCAGGGCTCAAGGTGGCGTACAACAATTGTGATAGCACATTAGAATGCAAATAAACATCAAAGACAAAAGGCACAACAGCAATCTAGTAAAATAAAATAAAATAAAATAAAAACGGGGGAGGAAAAACCAAGGAGGTAGTCAGCAAGAATAAAGGCCAAATGTTTTGTGATCCCTGCTAAAAGACAGCAAGAAGAGCAAAGACCTTTGAGGTGGGGGTTAAAGAGGAGGAGACTGCCCCACAGTCTTGGAGCAACTGGTTTAAAAGTCCTGCTTCTGGCCACAAACATTCCCACTTTATGCAGAAGATGAATTTGAGGCAGAGGGTAAGAAGCTGTTGACAGCAGACTCCAGTCCTCAACCCTCTAGGGCAGGCATGTCCAACTCCAAAGAGACTGTGATCTACTCACATTATAAAAATACTGGCTGTGATCTACCCACTGTTATTGACAGGCGAAGCTTTTTTTAAGGGAGGCAAAGTTGTTGAGCTTTTTTTAGGGGAACCAAATCTTTCTTTGGGGGCAGGGAATCACTAAGCATCTCATGATCCACCATGTCCAGTGATCTACCAGTAGATCATGATCTATCTGTTGGATATGCCTGTTCTATGGCATCATCACAGCCAACTCTCTCTCTCTCTCTCTCTCTCTCTCTCTCTCTCTCTGTATAAATATATATAATTGTCTGGTATGGTGATGGGGTGAGTAAGGCTGTGGTGGTCCTGCTTCTCAGCAGATAAGTCTTGGATAGGGTTGCCAGGGCCCAAACCTGAGACCTAGTGACAGCCACTGGTTATGTCATAAAGCATGAAACATTGAGCATTAACCAGAGTCACTATGTCATCGAACTCCTTCCCACCATTGAGCCCCAGAGATGGAGGTTAATTGGGAGAAGGGAGACAGGAGCTGAGGAGGGTGAACACTACAGAGAGTCTGTGCAGTAATTTGCAGCCTGCTTCTACCAGGCTGAAACATGCAAGCTGAAAATACAATCTTCATAATAGTAGTAGTAGTAGTAGTAATTTAAGGAACTCCTGCCATCCTGGAGTTTCAAGCCCTCCCTCTGCCACCTGGAAGTTGCCACCTGAAAACTTCAGGTCAGCCCTGGAGGTCTGGCAACCCTAAACCTAGAAAACAGCAACCCGGGAGCAGCAGCCATACAACTGGGAAGCTCCGCAGCTGACAAAGGCTTGCACCTGGAAGCCTTTATTATCCCAGAGGAGGAAATTGAAAGGGAAGCGATAAGCATTCCAGACTCTGGGGTGGAGACTGTGAGTGTCAGAACTCCAAATCTCAGGGAAGGGGGAAGGGATAACAGAGAAAAGCCACATTCACATCATACATTTGAAAAAAGCTATGATACCATAGTAGTGATGCCACAGCATCCATAGCAGTGACCAGAGGAGGAATGACCGCTGGGAGGAGCACAGAGAGAAGAAATGCCATGGGGCATCTGTGGAAGCACAACTGGACACCTTCAACTGCCCCACCTGCACAAAGCATCTCTCTTATCAGTCTCTACAGCTGCAGCAGGTGCTGTAACCTTCCAAGAGTTTGACTTCATCCCCAAATGTGAACTCCTCTTTCATCTCCCAAGACAGATGGATACCAACAAGAAGATACCACTTTAAACAGTCATGGCATCCCGCAAAGAATTCTGCGAGCTGTAGTTTGCTAAGGGTGCTGAGAGTTGTTAAGAGACCCCCATTGCCCTCACAGAGCTGCATGTCACCCAGTAAGAGGGATTATTAAACCACTCTGAAAATTGTGGCTCTGAGAGGGGAAGTGGGGCCTTCTAACAATGCTCAACACCCATAACAAACTACAGCTCCCAGAATTCTTTGGGGGAAATCATAGCTGTTCAAAGTGGTATCATAGCACTTTAAATGTATGGTAAATGTGACCAGAGTGTATGGTCACATTTACACCAAATGTATGGTGTAAATGTGACCAGGGACTTTTTTTTTAAGAGATAGCCAAGCAATATTATTTGAATTTAGGTTCCTGGTGATGAGAAGAGGTTGGGACTTCCTGTAGGGGCAATAGCCCTACCAGGTCTCTATAACCCTGACTCAGAAGGACCCCAGGCTGCTGGCCTCTCTTAAATAGAAAGTAAATTGTAGCACAGGGTCTGATTGGGGGATCACAGATGCAACAGACATCCCCCACCCCCACTGAAATCAATGTCAAAACTACCAATTTTGCATTGTACCCACAATTGTGAAGTCACAGCAAAGATGCAGAAGCAGAGCAACATATCTTCCAACTAAGAAACATATTATTTCAAGTAAGGGGGGAGGGAAGCCTAGAGGTTGGGGGGAGAGCCCTCCCTGCAAATAGAAAGCTAGCACATCAAGATAAGCTTTTCATGTGGTAGAACATACAAACATACCAAATTCCTAAATGTGGTCCAGGAAGAGCTATAACATTGTGACATTTCTAACCACGTACTTCAACTTTCAGAGAGGAAAGTGCAGGATTAATTGTTTCACCATTTATTCAGTAATGATGCCTAGCCCCGGGATAACAGGTGTTTTTATGTTTGCTTGCACAAATGGAGCTTCTCTGCTCACAGAGGATCCCCATTCGTCCCAAAAGAGGAAATGAATTTATTTGCATGGTTTTTATCCATTGAATTTGGATTGGAACTCATGGCAAGAGAGCCATGTATGGGAGTCTAAGCACTGCATCCCCAGATAAAGAGCAGGATGCATTTTTAACTGCTTCTTCTCCCCACCTGACACTTGGCAGTTTTTCATTAGGAAATGTGTAAGGGGGCTTACAGTTATCTAAATAATACTAAACTCACAATAAAGCCTGAATAATGTCCTCCCCTCATTGAAAACCAAAACCACAAATACAAGCTGAATGAAAACAAATTGTTAAAAAATACCTGTCTGGATTTTCTCTTGAAAATCAGTCATTGAGAATCATCTGTCAGTAAGACAAAATTAATTACTACATGTGAAATGGAGAAAATCAACATAAATTTAAATATTGCATAATATTACAAAAAGAATAGGTAATCCTATTATCTATTAGTTATATATGTCTGCAATCTAAAATACCCTTGCCCCTACCCCCAAAAAACTGACATTACATCATTAGATTTAACAAATATTTTTTAAACAGATATTGTGTGGGGGAAACTGCCTCCAAAATATAGTAACTTGCAAAATTCAGACATCTTTTTTGTTATTCGTTTGGTGGTAATGGAGAATCCAACTTGATTTGAGTATACCTTTAAACCTATGCCAACCTGGGCCAGTTTTAATTCACACAACCATTGTTCATGTGTGTGATGAACAGGTCACCCGAATCATTCACCTTGTGTGCTTGTCATTGGCATGCCATCACTACTTAACCCACAATAAGGTTGGTGGTATGATTCAAAAGCAGGCGCAAAGTGAAGGATTCGGATCACCCACTTGCATAGACCACTATGGGCAGGAAACTGTGGCCAGCTGCGTACAGAGCAATTGTGAGAACTGTCTCTGATCCAGCCTGCACCCTCAATATAACATGGCACTCCCATCAGCCACATTATCCCAATCACCTGTCAGGACAGGCCCAAGGCATTTTGTCATGCAGACATGACACAGAGGTGTGTCCCAGGCTCCCTTGATCATGCCACACAAAGGATGCTGGGACTCTGAACCTATCTGGGAATGCATAGAGTTGTCTGTAACTTCTCGGTTTCTGATGTGTCCTTCTGAGGTTGCCTGCCGTTTCACTAGCACCTATTTGAATGGCTTGGGTTGTCTGATTGGTTGCTACCATGGGTGGCACAGACCTATCCTAGACTTCTTCAAGGTAGAGAGGGAGTGCAGTGTGGTCACCCATGCTGCTCTTTTCCTTAAGCTAGGGAAGGCAACACTGCTGAAGTGGATGGATCTGGGTCTCTGCAAGGCCAGGTTAGAATCGAAGGTCACATTGATGGGCACTGTGTTCCCAAACACAAAGCCATGTCACACAGAGAGAGAGATGCAAGTCCAAGCACATGGAGTTAAAAAGGAAACCCGAACGGACCCCTAATCTGTTCAGAGACACTATATTGGCTTTATTAGGTACACAACACAGGGAATTACCATAACGTCCCCAAGCAAACTTTATTCAGTGTTTATGTAGCGCTAGGGTTTGCCTATATACAATTAAATCAAGTGTTGCAAATATATTAAACCTGCATTTTAATTTGACAAGTGAATTTAGAACTGGGACATGTTTTAAAAGGGTTTCTGGAATTCTAGAATGTTGCGTGTGCTAATGGTTCTGTGTTTGTACCCGGGGGGAGGGGAAACTTTGAGACGCATCCTATATTGTCTTGTGCTCATGGCACAGAAGCCGTGTGTGTGTGTGTGTGTGTGTGTGTGTGTGTGTGTGTGTCAGTAAGAAGAATGAGATGGGTGCCTAGCTGGTGCATGTGAAACAGCTATATAGGAAAGTAGCCATCTTCAAATGTCTTAAGGGCTGTCACATGGAAGATGGAACAAGCTTGTTTTCTCCTGCTCCAGAAGGTAAGACCCAAACCAATGGATTCAAATGACAAGAAGGGAGATTCTGATTAAATATTAGGAAGAATTTTCTGACAGTAAGACTTGTTTGACAGTGGAAAGGGCTCCCATTAGAAAGTGGTGGGCTCTCCTTCGTCGGAGGTTTCTAAAGAGATGTTGGATGGCCTTCTGTCAGGGATTCTTGAGCTGTGATTCCTGCATTGTAGGGGCTTGGACAAGATGACCCTTAGGGTCCCAACTCTACAATTCTGTATATGATTCTATGAAAATAACAGACTCTTCTCAACAAGGATTACCTGACTTGCAGTAGTGCTTCTTCCTTTGCTATGTTGCCTCTCACTGAAAGTGCTGGGGTTGTGCTCCCACCGAGACTAGTTCACCATGTTTTGCCTAAAGGTGCATGTTGACTTTTCACCAGCTCCCCCAAATATTGGTGTTAGCTGCACCAGCACGAGGCCAACATGACAATAAGTGGACAAAGCAAAATGCCTCTGTCCTCATGGTAAAAGCATCTCATCAAATCTCCAAAAGGATACCGTACGGTTTAAAGATATGCAGAAACATACTCCTCCTGCCTGCCTTAGATGGGTTCAAGTTGGGGCCACACCACAGCCAAATCAGAGAGGGGCAAGACATGTGTGGGAGGCAGGGGGCAAGCATATGTTGCACCCCACTGTTGACTGGGGGGTGGAACCAAAGCAGGCTATGTAAGCCATCTCTGCCTCTAGCTAGCCTCTTTTTGTTGCTGTCTCAGCACCCATCCTCCCACCTAGGGCTGCAGCATAGGATTAGCTGGTTGCTTAAGGGCTGAAAAGAATATCTGCACCATTTTTTTTCCTCCCCCCTTTTTATAACTTGCTACCACAATCTATTTTTCTCATTAATTGATGGAGAGTGTTGGGGAAAATGCTGAAGAGATTTGCAGCACAACACTACTTTGATCTGATCCAGCTGGGCTCTTACGTTCATATATTAATCCTGCCATGTACCCAGAATTACCCCTATTTATACTTTCAAGGGATGGAAACACATATATCAACTGCATGCGTCAAAGCTGCTAAGAATCTGTCAGAGGTGGGTGTGAATTGCCTCCCAGACTCTTCAAATCCAGAGGAAAGCTGTGCAGTGCACTAGATCAAGAATGGATACAGGCCGGGCCAGACTCAGCTCCCTTTCAGCCACCAAGCCGTGAGCCAGTTACTCTCTTGTAACCTACCCCACTTTCACTGGATTGTTCTGCAATAAATCCATCTATGATGTCCTGAGCTTCTCAGAGGAAGCAGTGGGGTGTGTTTGTGCGTAGCACAATACAGGATGGTTGCATCTCACATGCATTCACTGCAGTTGATATATGTGTTTGGATTTCAATCATACATGGTTCAAATTGTGCAAGTGAGGCAGAGAGCTTAAAAAACTCTTTTTGCACCAGGTCCTCTGGGGTTACCCAGCATGGAAAGAGCTTTAAAGCTCTTCGCCTTGCTGTGGGTGGAGACAAGACCACCTGAGTTCCCATGAGATCTCGCAGGAGCATCCGCAGCCTTCCAGAGCTGATGTACTAAGCAGGCCTTGTACCCAAATCCTCAAGCAAGGTGGAGAGCTTAAAAGCTCTTTTCATGGCATGTCCACTTGGGGTCACCGGTTGGGAAAATAGCTTATAATTTCTCTGCCTTTTTTTTACTAGGCAAGGTCCTCTTGCCACATGGGCTCTGGGGGTACAGGGGATTCTTGCTTTCTCCCTTCCCCTGTGGGGCAGCTCCAAGGGTTTGGCTATGCGTGATTTGAATATGTGGAAGCCCAGAACCGAGCCTTCATGTAAGATATGATTGTACTGTAAATAAAAACCTACCCCGCAAATTATCCTTGGGAACGTTCTGACAACTTATTAATGGAACTGAGGAGACTTTGCAATGACAAAGCTTGAGAACTCTTCAGATGGGCTGTGCAGTTGCAAGGGAATTCCCTGTCCAAAAATTCTTGCTTATGGATTGATCCCCAGTGACTCATTCTTTTGAATACGCACAGAACAGCCTTGGACCCTCAGACGTGTTTGTATCTACGCTGAAGGCACAGCATTTCTATTATCTTCTTAAACATAGCTTACTTTCAACATTGCTGCCCCCACTGAGAACAATTCCATGATTACAACGGATAAGGTTCAGGCTTGGCCTGGAAATTCCGGCCTGATACTTTCAGAGCTTAGTGAAAACTGTTTTATGGCAGAAGCTTTATGCTATATATATATATATATCTGAGATAAATCCTAGCTCACTTTTTATTATCCTTTCCCTTCTCCCAAGGAAACTGTTCACAGTTTAATTTAGAATTGAAGATTTTATGCCACAGAACAAAAATGGGAATATGTATGTGCATATGCAACCCCCCCCCCCAAAAAAAAGAGACACGCAGAGAGGACTAGAATCTTATGTCAATCTGATGTTCAGACTTTGACTATAGACACCTGGGCTCAAATTTCTGCTTAGCCATGAAGTTCACTGCACAATACACTATTTCAATTGAGCATGCCTCATTGCATTTAAAGCACTCTTGTACAACTTTGACTGTCATGGCTTCCCCCCAAGAAGGCTGGGAACTAAAGTTTGTTAAGGGTGTTGGAAATTGTAACTATGTGCCCTTGAAAAACTACAGTTCCCAAGATTCTTTGGTGGAATCCACGACTGTCAAAGTGGTTTGAGTGCTTTAAATGTATGGTGTGCCTGTGACCTGTTGTCCATGTAAAATACGTCAAAGGTTCTGCTAATAATTTACTTTTATATTCTGTGGGTCCTCTGTGTAACAAATTTATATATAGTTCACAGTGGCAAAATGTATTAGGGGCTGATGGAGACCCCCACAGTTGCCTGAAATTCTGGGGAAACTGCTTTGTTAAGGCTTGCTGTAAACTAGAACTCTGTAAAGGGTAAAGTACATCGGGGCATAGAGTAGGGGTGCCAGTGGGGCCATGGCCCCAGATGTGGATTTCTGAGGGGGAGAAAAGCAGGCACTCCCATGCAGATGTCCCCAGTGCGGCCCAGCCCAGCGCTCCCAGTGTCAGAGGAGCCAATGCTCGGCACCGGGACAGGCCGTGCTAGTGGTGCCTGCTTCATTCCTGCCAAGTGTTGCATTGCCTGGCCAAGCAGTTTATTCCACAGGTCAACAGGCAGCACAACATACCCCTGCTTGGCTCCAATGTGGGGCGGGGTACCTCCGTCAGTGTCAGCAGTGAGGGCTGGGGTGCCACAGTAGGCTCCCTCACCTTCCGCGCCCCCTGCCCCCAGCGCTCATGTACCTGGCTGTCACTTGCTCACACAATGCCACTGAACTACAATGCCCAGAATTCTCTGAGGGGAAGGATGTGCTTCGAATGTGTGGTGTGTACACAGCCTAAGTGACACAAGAGGGAAGCACTGTGTAAA